CCCCCCAAAAACGCCTGTCGGGTGCATTTGCCTCTTTTTTTGGCAAAGTTTGGAAACAGAACATAAACTTTCCCAATTTGGGGATAGTCCTTAAAATTTTAAGATCCAAGTATTTTAAGAATTTGAGTAAAAATTGTCAGTGAAAATGTTCCCTGTCAAAAATTTTAAACCTGTAAAAAAAGGTGCCCCAAATTTTAAGAAAAAACTCACACTGTTTCCACATAAAACCCTTTGTTTTTTTTTTTAGTGAATTTATTTGCATGACTGAGTATGTAGAAATGGCCGCTCAGTAATGTCGGATACGCCCTTTGACCCTGAAAATTTGCATAAAATTTGAACGAACCTTTTCCTGAAATAGTTTTTAAAATTTATATAATTTAAAATAAGCTATACAGAAAGAACTATTCCTTATAAAAATAAATCTCAAAAAATAGCAGCATGAAATGTTTTTCTTCAAAAAAAATCTAAAAAAGATTTTCGGGGGGGGGGGGGAAATTATAAGTCAACGATATGAATAAGTGGGGCTTGAATACTAAAAAATAAAAAGAAAAAAAGTTTGAATACTAAAATCAAGAAAATAAGTTATGAATAAAAATAAAAAAAATGTTATGAATAAAAAATAATCAAGAAAATATTTTATGAATACAAAAATAAAAAGAAAAAATTGTGAATACTAAAAAAAAACTTTTTTTTTATAAATTAAAAAATAAAGAAAAAAGTTATAATGAATAAATAAAAAGAAAAAATAGTTTGAAAAAAACATTTGCCCCTATGGGCACAAAGCCCAGTGATCGGTTATTTGCTGATTTTGACCTGAACAACAATTAAAAAGGAACTACTGGTTTTATGACTATCCGGTAAAATTTTTTGTGAATAAGGTTGGGGGCAAATTTAAGTTATTAAAAATTTTCCCAAAAAAAATATCTAAATTTTTTAGAATCAATAGGCCCATTAATACAGCCCCAAAATCAATAGGGGCATCTCTGGTATGGCAATACATCAATTTTTGAATTCCCTGGGCCTAGCCTTTAGGTTAAGGTGGAACCCATTTTAACTTCAAAAGGGACTTGACCTTTGCCCCCTTGACCCCAAAATCAATTGGGGTTATCTCGGGGTCATGACAATCTATACTAAATTTTAAAAAATCTAGCCTTAAGCGTTCTAAAATAGATGGAACCGTTTTTCCCTAAAAGTCAATGTGACCTTGCCCTTTCCCTCAAACAATGGGGGTTCTACTGGTCATGCCCCAATCCCCATAAAATTTTGATTTTCCTAGCCAAAGGGGTTTTTTATTTATTGTTTGGGAAAACCGTTTTTACCTAAAAAAGTAAAGGACTTTGCCTTTGCCCCCAAAATTAAGGGGTATTATGGGGTATGGAAAAATCACCATCAAAGTTTGAATTGGGGCCTAACGTTTTTTGGGTTTTGATGAAATTTTTTAACCTTCAAGGTAAAAGTGCCTTTTGCTTTGACGACTTGCTCCAAAATAATGGGTTACTCTGGTCATGACCAAAAAAACATCCCAATTTGAATTTCCCAAAGGGCCCCTTTAGGGTTTTTTGTTATCACTAAAAAAACTTTGATTACGGCCCACGGCCCAACGACGACGCCCGGAAAAAAAAAAATATCCCCCTTCTTTTTGAAGGGGGGCTTTTAAAAAGTAATGAATACTAATAATCATAAAAAATTGAAAATGAAATAAGAATAATCAAACAATTCCAGAGCCCAGCAAAAGACCCAAGCTTTACATTATTAAAATTGTTTCGGGGTGAATCTGGTGGGCGAATCGTAAAGCTGAAAAAGGAACTATGTCCCCAATCTTTTTTCATCTAAAACCCGGTCCCTTTTTTAGAATCCGATAAATTTTTTGGGAAAAAATGAAAAAATTGTTTTCTTTTTGATTTAAAAAGTACAATTTGGGGTTTTAAAAAAACCCCAAACATTTTTGAAAATTTTTTTCCCTTTTTTTAAAATCAAAAAATGTTTTTCAACCCCCAAAGGGTTTTTTGCGATTTTTACTGATTTTTTTAAATTACAAATTAAAGGGTTTCTTTTTGGGGAAAAAGACTTTCCCTATCCCCAAAACCCAAGTACACAGTTTTTAAAAAAGTTAGCAGTGACATTTTTTTAAAACCCCTTGAGATATATCTGAGAGCATTTCAGGCACAGCATAGAACTGGGGATTCCTAAAATTTGCTTATAGTTCTCCAATAAAACTTCAAACCCTTTAAATGGCACCCAAGTCCAAAGAGTAAAAGGCAATATTTAAAAGTAAAAATTTTTTGGTTTTTGGTTTACAGCACCAACAAGGTTTTTCCATTTTACTGGTGGAAAAAGGCCCTTATATTTTTTTTACAAATGGGCATGAGTGGGGACAAAATTTTTTTGAAGCCTGGGGATAGTTTTCTAAATAAAAAAGAATCAAAAGTCCCTGTCAAAATTTCGAACCCACAGCAGTGAAGTCAAATTTTTTTGAAGTCAGATTAATCATTGCCCCTGCAAATTTCCAAAGCAATTTTACTTCCTGCAGATGAGGGGCAAAACTTAACTATGTGGGGCTGTTTAGCGCTTGGCTATTTTTTTGGATTTTTCCTCCGAACAAAATTTTTTGTCCCAAAAAATGACTTTTCCCCAACCCGTTCTTTACATTAGCTGTAAAAAAAAAAAAATTTTTATTCTAATATATAAGTATTTTTTAAATAAAATATAACCATAATGTTTGTCAGTTTGCCCAAACATTAAATACGTATTGTCAATATGACAGGCATGCGAAACTCTATAATACCCCACCATAAGTAGTAGAGGGCATAACAAGTTTCTCTGATATTAGTTTTGTTAAATATCAGCCAGTAGATATAAAAAAAATTTGATCAGATTCTTTTCTCATATTTGTAAATAAAATATTTCTTTAGGATTAAAGCTCCTATACGATGAAAATCTTTGAAATTGACCTACTGCTTTGAAAATTCTAGTATATCTAAAGGATTTACAGAGTAACAAATAACTAATTTCTTATTTTCTTCCATTTTATTCCATTTAAAATGGAAATGGCTTTAACACAGAGACGAACATACTTTGTTTTTGGAATCTAATTACCGAGTCTAACAATGAAAAAGCATGATAATGATGTCACTTCAAAACGAATGAGTGTTCACAATAATTCAGTTGCTTAAAAGGGAAACAAGCCCCTTAAAACCAAGAGCTGTCAGAAGGACACGCCGCGCTCGACTTTTTTAGTGCTTGCCTATAAAAACAAAAACTTTGGAACAGTTAAGGGCACACCAAGACTTTAAACTAGGAATTTCTAAGTACAAATCAAGAAACATTTTCACAGAGTTATCTTCTCTTGCTTACAGATAGGTCTCATGATGGCAGCATAAGAACTCCAACTTCCAAAGTAATATCTCAAATGGTTAGGTCAACAAGTGGACAAGAATGAAAAATTTTAACTGAGTTTCTAAGTCAAAAAGGGCCATAATTCAAATAAAATCCTTAACAGAATTACTTCTCCTGCCCATGTTTGGGACCATGATGGTAAACAAGTATTTCCAACTTTCCAATTTAATATCTCAACCAGTTTCAGTCAAAAAGTTGACTGGTACAAAAAACTTAACCAAGATTCTAAGTCGATAAAAGGCCTTAATTTTTAAAACAAATCCCTGACAGAGTTACCTTCTCTTGCGTACAGATGGGGGTAATGATGTGAAATAGCATTAAAAGTTTCAAAAGCAATATCTCAAAAGGGTTAAGGCAATAAGTGGATTTTACCCATATTCAATGTATTTTCTAAGTCAAAAAGGGGCATAATTCTGTCAAAAAACCTTGACAGAGTTATGTCCCTCTTGTCTGTTGATGAAGGTCGTGATGGTAAACAAGTATGGTCAGTTTCAAAGCAATACCTCCAATGGTTTTGAAATAAAGTGAGGTGGTACAAAAAACTTAACCAAGCTCAATACACTTTCTAAGTCAAAAAAGGGCCATAATTCTGTCAAAAACCTTGACAGAGTTATGTACTCTTGTCTGTAGATGGAGGTTATGATGGTGAACAAGTATGGTTAAGTTTCAAAGCCATACTTGTAATACTTCTGAAAATAAAGTGGGGTGGTACGAAAAACTTAACCAAGGTGTGACGCCAAACGCTAACGCGCCGACGCCGGGGCGAGTAGGATAGCTCCCCTTTTCATAGAAAAGTCGAGCTAAAAAATTTCTCACCATGTCATTCAAAGTTCTCATCTGTCGCTCCGCCCAGGGTATCAGAGCTCGCACGGCAAACTCGTGTATAAATATCCTAATGCGATCTTGATCACTGGCCGTGAGACACATCCCGTGTCCTGGAAATTGACCTTTGTTTTGCATATTAAATGAGGATGATTTTGACATGGCTGACTGAACGCTGTTGAGACTGCTAGTGGAGCCCTGGTAGTCCGAGCTGTATTCTAAGGTCGGGCTCTGTAGCGGGCTCTCATCTGACAAGGCCAAGGGATGGTCCATAACTGAGTTAGTCACTGAGCCTAGACCATCTATACCTATAAGATATATATTCCACAAACTATTTTCTGTTCCAATGTCAGCTGTCCCAGGTGGGTTTTTTTTACATGTATTTTCAAAACCCTCTATAAATGTATATTTCAATCCCGAGACGTTTCAAAAACGCGAGCTAAATGCATTTTTCAATCCCCTTTCTCTTTTTTAAATGGCTAAAATCATACAATAAGTTTCCAGTCCCATTCATTGAAAAATAAACACACTGAAATACACACCTTTGCAATATTCTAAGAACAAATCAACTCATCTCCAATAAGCTAAGATATTGATAGACAAGTAATTTATAGAAAGAGTCCACCTGAAACTGTAAAGGTCACAAGGCAAGTTTACTTGTGCACTGAAAATAATACAAAGGCAGTCACCTGAGCAAAACATAATTTTTCCTTAAGCAAACTGGATAGATCCAGCACATCAAAAAAGTCTATGTACCTAGTTTGACTCATAGCCACAATGTCAAAGCCTACTCTGAAGGGCAAGTGATGTGCAGTCAGTGTGATCTTAACCATTGGATAATTGAGACCCCATGAAATCACATTTTGATAAATTAGTAAATTAAAGAAGACATTGTAACTTCATACCTTCATCAGAGTGGGAATTTGTGTCTAGAACATGGTTGTTAGTTTCCGGTGCACCTTCTTCCAGCCTTGTAGGGAACATGGAATCATCGGCACCACTGCTGCCCCCGGCATCGTAATCAACCCCTTCCTATGAATGAAAAAAAAATCTGTAACATAATAATATGAAAATGATTATACAGGTTGCAATGGATGCTCTAATCATTATTCTCATTTACTATAAACTAAAAAAAAATGTTACTATATAATAAACCTCTTGACCACTTCCTCTATGAAATTCGTACTTATGACATACAAAATACCACTCATGAATCCAAATCTGTTTGTTATCTGGAATCTTCCAATATTTAAATAGTAACTGATAAAATGTTTTTTAGGTAATTCCATATAGTACTGTATATTACTGCCCTACTAGATTTACATGAAAAATAAAATTACGAGATAGAACACAATATAAAAAGCAGTATTTTGGTCTTGCTCACAATAAATAATAAATACTTTTATCTCCTCATTCCTTTGCCACCCCCAGTTCCCTCATTTCTTTTTTTTAATTTGACATTTCATTTACAATGCTTGTTTTTTTACTCTCTGGTTGGGTCTGAAGTCACACCAACACTGTTATGATTGTATGGTGACTTTCCGAAAAAAGAACTCAGGTGCGCTTCTGTACATTATTTCAGGCATGAAGAGTAGGCATCAGAGTAGAACCACCAACCTTTTCTTAAACTGGCTGGAAAACTCCTGCACAAATAATATTACGTCCCTGAAGGGATTTGAACCAACAACAGTTAGGGCCAGTGGTAAAGAGCCAGCGATTTGAGCCACTTGTCCACAGAGGCCCCAACAAGGCATTATTAATATATAATTGGCCATATCTATACTTATGCCATGTTGTACAATAAAGTTCATAATTATGTCTCAAGGAATTTTAGTAAGCTATTAAAAGAATTTTCAGAAAGATCCAGTATTACTTTTACATGTTATTAAGATAATAGAAAAAATATTTTAAACAATGCTGGGACACTCCCTACATTCCCTTTGATCAAAGCTTTCCACATGGTGTTACTTTATACAGAAAAGAAGTCTGAAGAAAATTCAATTTTTCATCTAGGTGACCTTGAACTTATTTAAACCAGTCTGAAACCTAATCCAAAGGTAAGTGAAGCATGGACAGACATTATATATGTAAAATATCAGTCTATAAGTTGTTACTGAATATCCCTGGAAAAATGGTTAGTAAGTAGTACTAAGTACGATAAAGAATAGAATCAAGGAAGAAAGGAAAGGACACACCGGCAGCTGCATGATATACTTCAACATAAAAGTTTTGCCCCATTCCCCCCCCCCCATCCAAAAGGACTGCCCACGTTAGACTGCTCTTTTAAAAGAAAAGATAAAAAAATACCATGTGAATCCCTCAAATAGATAAGCATACAAAATCGGAAACAAAAAAAAGAGTTACAACTGTACATGCAAATCACACATGTAATGTATAAAAGAAAAAGAAAATAAAAAATGTACATAGAAATATGAAAAGCTGAAATACTTAACAATGTTAAAATTTGCTTCATGTATGGAAAAATGAAAAGTAGGGCTAAAATTGAACACTTGCAAGGTTTAAGTGAAATAAAAATGTAACCTGTAGCAGTTTTATTTCATATACAATGTAAATTTATCAACAAAAACTTCAGAAGTAAAACTGATGCTATGTTGAACTTTTTTTTGTTTTGTTTTTATTTTTTTTGCCAAAAAAAACCCTTCAAGCTTGAAAACAATTGTGCAATTGTGAGTCATAAGAAGCAAAATTCTAGCCCATAAATGCATGCTTACTCAATGCAAAGAAGAAAATTCTAAAACCGTCACACCAACACTTACCCAAGGTATAAAATATTTAGCCTTTTGAGGCTTTTTCTGTAAAGAATTAAAATCACAACACCTTGTTAGTACAGAACACAATCACACCCCTAAAAGCTTTAAATGCAAACCTCCCCATCCATCCACAACTGAATTTGTATAAAAAAATTTTTGTTCCTGATTTTTTAATTCATAACTTCCCATTGTGAATTTTAATGGCTTCCAATTCATAAAAACTTGAATTGTGCACAAAATTAAAGTTCAGTCATACTGCACAGATGCCATGGGCAAGCTGGCTTGTCTCAAAACTGGTTGCGAAATGGTAAGTATATGTAGTTATTGCCACTAAAAAGTTAGTAATGCTGATAATACAATTAGTAACAAAGCTCTGCTAGAAATACCTTCCCGTGCCTACAAAAGCCTGTGTTATAATTCCAGCTCAAAACACAAGTGATTTGTTATTTCTACATTTCATTAGTTTATGACACCTGCAACATGTGTTTGATAGGTTTCTTTGCAACAAATACCAAAACTGCGACCATTCCAGATATAGTATTTAAAGGATAAAACTAAGTTAATAACAGAAAAACTTGTTAGATTTCATATCTATAAACATGGAAGGTATTTGCCAAAGCATAATTATGTTAAATGTTATCTTAAAACAAATTCTTTCATACCATGCCCACTAAGCATTCATTAATATTTTGTTACGACAAAATCCACAATTTGCATCAATTATTCAAATCAGATTAATTTTGCTAACAAGGCCGCTGATGCAGCATCCCATTGCCAGTTTCTAAACAATAAAGCATCGCAATTAGTCACTTCATTAATCAATAACCGCAAGATGATCAAAGTGGCATACCAAAGTAACTTTTTGTATCACAAGTTTCGGAGCGAGAAAAAAGATTCCCTTTCCTGTTTTTTCTACTTGGTCTGATAAGACATTCATTGGCAAATAAAAATATTACTCTTATGTTTGCTTGATACAATAAGTAACATGGGTAGCTATATTTGTAACACTGTCAAAACGTACCCCTACATCTGTAGGTTTATTTAGAAATTGTCCCCATGGATCTGGCAGACTTGTGTCCATCTTCATTGTTTCGACCGTCGTTAATGAACGAGAATTGATCTGTAACAAATGGCAGCTTTGATGACCGAAAGATGACTTCATACTTTGGTAAACTGCTTCAGCTCTAGAAAGTACATGCAAAAGAAACAATAGTTATGAAAATTTCAAAAATAGCCTTCCTTCAATCCTTTAATTACATGAACATATATGTATACAACATCATGCGTATAAGAATTTAAGTAAACAACCTCTGTTGTGAAAATTTGAAGAAAAATTATATACTTAGTTAAAATTCTTAAAATAGACTGTAGTAGCCGTTAAAATAATATATATGTCACATGAATAAAGTATGTACTATAATTATAAAGTATGTAGATGGAAATCTTCTGTGCATAATTTCAGGCACGAATGGGCGCCTGAGTAAAACCACCGACGTTTCGTCAGCTAGCTTGATAGCATCCTCACGTGAAAGAATCCAAAAGTCTCTGTCAGGATTCGAACCCACAGTAATGAGGACTTTTACAGTCTGCTAAAATCTAAAATGATTAGCAAAAGAGCAAATAACTACTTATCCTTTAATACAAGAAAACTTACTTAGAGGCCTCTGCTTCCACTACGTCATGAACAAGAACATAATATTTGAGAATATTTGGACAGAACCAGTGTGGCAGTTTGTTTGGGAACTGGGACTGCTGTTGTTGCTGACTACTCGACAATGTTTGTAACATCGCCAGAGGGTCTGTGTGGTTGGAAGACACAACAAATATACCTGGTGCATTGTGTTAAGGAAAAATGTAGTAAACAAAACAAACTATAAACTTCTTTTGGCAGAATTTTTTGTATTGACATTGTTCATTCAATTCAAATATCAACCAAATTGCGAAGCGTAACAAATACAATCAAATTTGACACTGAAATATGATAATTAACAAATATCATATCTTCAAATTACTTCTTCAGCAATATGACATATAAAATGACAAACTATTGAAACTTGTACATATTAAAGTTTTTTTCACAAATGGGGCACAGGAAGGGCATCCCCTAAAGGAGATAACACAGTGCTATGTTAATTGAAATTTAGGGGATAACTGCATGATTTTAAACAATTTTCCCTGGGAAGGGGGGGGGGGAGTGAACATTTACCATTTTGTTAGTTTCAGCCTAACCTTATCAATTAAAATGACATGGAACTTTATCATTTTATGTGATTGTTAATCTTCTACAAGGATACAAGCTAGACAATGTTTGAGGAACTCATGATCAGATGGTGGTAAAGTCTGTAGGAAACACTCTCTGTAAGCTTCAAACCATGGTGTGGAAGCTGTAAACAAAAAGATACAGATTACATTATAATACTGGTTTCAAAATGTCAATGACAATGATAAAGTATAGGTAAAATTGTCAACAGATAAACACAGATTAAATCTTAATACTGACTTCAAGAAGTATGACATCTAAAAAATTGTATTGTAAATATGGTAATCAATGAAACAATCAATATTTTATAAAGTAAATAATTTGTAGAATGGCCCTATTCAGACCAAATTTTCGTCAATTCTATTATAAATTTTAGATTACCCAAAGCCAAAGGAAAGTTCTGTTGACTCTGAACATGTAGAAATTTCTGTAACAGTAATGCTAGCTAAATTTCAGCTAGCAGGTATTTTGTATATTTAACATTTTGAATTAATGCTTAAATTGATTAAGGGTCAACAAATTTATGATAAATGATTTCAAAACTCTTTGATAAAGTATTATGGTAATGGTATATTGAGGTAAAATATGAGCTTGTCAGTACTAGTATATAATGAAGCATTTCAGTTCTTATATTTATATCAACAACTCGTAAATTTTTTTTAAAAAAAAGGTATATAAAGTTAGCATTCATTAATAAGCATTTAGAGGCCTTCAAAAACTTTCATTTTCTAAATGCTTACTAATGAACACTAGCTTATCTAGTGGTTGAAATTATTTAAACAGGCAGTCCATTTACATGACTGATAAATTTAAGAATTTATCTGAAAAACTACTATTCTATTGGACTAAACATATTTTCAAACACTTCAGAAAAAAATAAATAGTTTCATACAGCTCAGTTGAAGGTCATAATCTCCCACAGAGATAACATTCCCTCTAGATCCCTCTGCCATCACTTGTTGTTCACTATTTACGGCATCATTCATTAACTTCTTGGCTGCTGCAGCTGGGGGTATCTGACAGTTCATGTCCACCATGCTGATCCGCAGATGTTGTACATTATGCTGTACATTGTTCGGATCTTTTATGTGTGCTGAATAAATACACATTAAATTATATTTCATAGTAAATTTGTTTGCTGAATAAAATAACATAAAATTCTATTTCATTAAATGATTAATAAGAGAAAATCTCACAAATGCAAATCTGCATGTCACTGTGCCTATAAAACACACAAAATCAGCTGGGTGTTAACTATGCTGTTATTTATTTCAACAATGGATGCATTAAATTTTATGGATAAAAATCAGTAGAACATAACATCATATAGCTGAGTGACATACATGTACCATAATAATTATAAGTGTAATATATTGCATTTTTGAAGATAATCCGGTGATAAATCAAAGTTTATAAATTATTAATAAATGTACCATAAAGATTATTTAAGCTTTAATATATTGTTTTTACATAATTCGAATATAAAATTCTCGCTAAGTTATCTAATGTTTTGTCCATTAATTTCAAACCCAACAATTTATCTCAGTTAATGCGATTATCATAAACACTGATCGGCCAACAGTGATTGCACAAATTTCTTAGTGTACATCGAACGTATAGTCATAACATGTTCCAGCTTAACTGGTGGAGACCTACAGTGACTTCTGTGCATTATCATTCAGCACTGCACTGGTAAACCACAACGTTCGCTAAGCTATGCTGTAATGCTTCTCACTGGAAAATCCAAAAGTCCCTGTAGGGATTTGAACCCACGGCGGTGAGGGGCAAGTGGTTTGAAGTCAACGACCTTAACCACTTGGCCACGGACGCCCCCTTTATTAAAGTCAAAGAGAATATATCAAGTTATAATCAACACTAGAGGGATCCGAACATTAAACCTAAACAAAGAGTTCAATGCAGGGGTGTGGAAATCCCATGCCCGACTTGTCCGACTCGGGACTTTATGCCTGCGGACAAGTAGATTTTTCTATAGAACTTGTCCGTGGACAAGTGAAAATCTGAGCCAGTAGGAAAAACAAAATACTGTATTTTTGTCGCTTATCAATGGGGAACATTTATTGTAGTAAGTTAAGTTATGATTCTTGGTTAACTATGAGGAAATACACTTTTTCATATCAATCATTTCAACCCATGGAATAACTCTTGTTACAAAAGCAAGCTCCTTGATACATGCAGGTCATATGGAGGCAACCGCTCTTTAAAGTAAATTTTAAAATGCACATTTGGTAACAATTGTAAAGTTGTTTTGGTTCAAATATTTTCAAAAGGATAATTGTTTGGACATCATTCATTGCTTTTATAAGACTAAAGAGTTGTAGATTGTTTCCTTAAACTACAGAAATGATGTCTTCTCTTTACTCAGCAAATCTGTTCACACCTTACTATATGAAAGGACAGTGTAACCTATAATTAACTTTTGTTTAAACACATGGCCAATGTATTGTATTTTTATATGGGCAAGTACAGTTAAGCTGCGGACAAGTAAAAATTTCTGGCCAACTTGTCCGTGGGCAAGTGGCAAAATTTCATATTTCCACACCCCTGCAATGCATTGCTCCGACACCACTCTTCCTCTGCGACTAGGATGATATGCATTTTGTACAAGAAATAAGTGAAATTATTTGCATAAATCATAATTTATTTTACATTTTCAAGTCTCTTTGTGTATTTGTAACTTTTTATGAATAAATGGGTTTTTTAGAAATCTTAATTGCATAACTTTACAGCTTATCTGTACGAATGAAAATTTCTTCGACAGCAATATAAAATAACAGAGATCAATACATGTGTACTGGTTCAGCTTACCCTCTGTCTTCAGTCTACAAAAAGGCTGAACGAGTTGGACAAATGACAGGTTGTTTTTCTGACATAACAACTCTGCATCATTACTGCACAGCGCGGCTATTTGTGGACTGAATGTGCTTTGAATAAATTCATGAGCTGTTTGTTTATGCTGTGCCATATTCAAACTTTAGGCGTGTATTGATTTGAGAAATGCATCATAGAACTGTCAAAATTTGGCAATCAACTTTCACTTCCTGTTCACGAATACGCATGTTCCGGAAATGGGGTGGTTTGGGATTAGGCTAAATTAAAAAATAAAACGGAATCTGGTCATCAAACACTGCTTTTTTCATTAAAAGAAGACGAAATTACTCGGAAACTTAAGAAAAGATTTTTTGATATAGGAGCCTAGATAATATTTCTTTTAGTGAGACTGTAACTCATTTAAGATTTTTACGGAGGAAGTGTTTTAATTTTTTTTAAATTAAAGATCCTGTATGATCGTTAAAATTACCACACTTAAGTGAAATTCAATATAATTATGTACGTACATGCTTCTAAAACAATTTTTAAACATCGAAGAATTAATATGTAAAATATGTACTACAAATATTTGTCCCCAGTATATGTAATCATTACAATCAGGAATTCATTCCTTATTGAACAAAGTGACTTAAACTTGAAAGAAAATAAATTTCTAATTACCTAACTTTATAAACATGAAATGTAAATTCGGTAATAGTTTTACAAATAATGCTTTTTGGAACTTACAATATTGATAAGTCTTCATTTGAGCATTATATGTATGATATAAAATCATAAAATAATTGTGTTACAGGATCTTTAATATTAGTGTATTATTTAAAAGGGACTCGATCGATCCACCACAGAGCTATATTTTTAGAGCTTTTTATCCGTCTGTAATAAAAGTCTCTCGATCCTATGAGGTTTTTCGAGATACCTTTTCGAGATTTGTGTACCATTTCATGTCGGTCTATTCCAATAACTTGCTTGCAATATAACAGAGTATTCATTCATGCTGTTTTTTTTTGTTTTTTTTTCTTCTCAGAACAACTAATTTGGTAAAAACATTACCTAAAGTTATTAAAATACATTTGTATGGTAAACAAGATCAACAAGGAAAGGCGGCGTTCAATGAACGAAAAGGGTTTTTGAAAACTTAACTCAAATCTAGCTAAGAACTGCGCTAATTATAAATATCGCTCTTAAATTTAATAAGGAGTGTATTTCTATAAATGCCCCATTTGGTCTTTGTTGATGTTTTTAGAATTTAGACCTCAGCGAAACCTTTTTATATAAAGTGGTATTGAAATCAACCTATTTGATTTTCCTAACTTTACAACGTATGCCAACTACATAAACTTTCATTGAAATATTAATTTAAGAGTACTTGAGATATTAATTTGATAACACTGAAGCCAAAAACACTTTATCACAAATTCATTCATTCATTCATTCATTCATTCATTCATTCATTCATTCATTCATTCATTCATTCATTCATTCATTCATTCATTCATTCATTCATTCATTCATTCATTCATTCATTCATTCATTCATTCATTCATTCATTCATTCATTCATTCATTCATTCATTCATTCATTCATTCATTCATTCATTCATTCATTCATTCATTCATTCATTCATTCATTCATTCATTCATTCATTCATTCATTCATTCATTCATTCATTCATTCATTCATTCATACATCTATTTTTCATCCATCCAGCCGATTTCTTTAGCATCCGTTATAATTACAGTGTATCGAATTTGTACGTAGTTTTACGGTTAAATCAATTTGAATTAATATTTAATTTATTGGTCGGCAGTTTTTGTTTTTGTTTTTTTTTACTTGGCATAGATTAAAATATGAATAGCAATTTCACGGCAAAATATAATTTTCTCTATATGTTTAACTGGTCTGCATTTTCTCGTCTGAATGTAGAGAGCATTAAATTTGCTGACCATATAGAATAAGAAGAGTTTTACGGCTTAAATCAATTTGAATTAATGTTTAATCGGTGCGCAGTTTATTTACTTAATTCAATGGTCGACATGATTTTATACAATATATTAAACTTGCAGACATTACAAAATTAATAACAATTTCACGGCAAAATATATTTTTCTCTATATATCTAACTAATCAGCATTTTCACTGTATGTCTAACTGGTCAGCAGATTCTACTATATATTTAACTGGTCATCATTTTCTCGCCTGAATGTAAAGAGCATTTGCTGACCATATTGAATAAGAAGACTTTTACGGCTTAAATCTATTTGAATTGATATTTAATTGGTCAGCAGAATTTTTTTACTTAATTAAAAGGTCGACATGATTTTATACAATGTATAAACATTGCATATATAAATGAATAGCAAGTTCACGGCAAAATATCATTTTTCTATATATATCTAACTGGTCAGCATTTTCAATATATGTCTAACTGGTCAGCATTTTCCCTATATATCTAACTGGTCAACATTTTCGAGTATTACGGCTTGAATCAATTTGAATTAATATTTAATTGGTCAGCTTTTTTTACTTTTTAGATTGTCGACATGATTTTATACACTATATGTTAAACTTGCGGACATTATAAAATGAATAACAATTTTACGGCAAAATATATTTTTCTCTAAATAACTTACTGGTCAGCATTTCCCCTGTCTATCTAACTGGTCAGCAGATTGAATAACAATTTCACGGCAAAATATATTTTTCTCTATATATCTAACTGGAGAGCATTTAATATCATATTTTGGACTGTTTATTGTATTTTGTCATAGACAAATCAAGAATGACACGTGTGAAATTTCTTTAAACTAATATATGACATTGGGGCATGTCTATCACGATATTGTGTATTTTGTTGGTGGAACCTACAGATAACGACGAAGTTTTACGTGCAATTTTCATTTATTTTCCTGTCAGAGTTTCTAAAGAATAGCTAGTTCATAAAAAAAACAGAATGTGCAATTACTCCATTAAATAATTAATTTTCCGGCTAATCACAATTGATAAAAAAGAAAAAATCATGTTATTGTTCATGCAATTTTAATTCAGATTTGCACCAAATACGAAATAATCATTATAAATCGTTAAAATATACATTAGTATATGTATATATTGTATCTATGATGCATAGTTTTATACGTATTTGAAAAAAAATCGTGATATTTTTTATGTAAGTACACAATATTATGACTACATTATTTAAATTTTAACCAATATATAACACAAAGAAGACAATTCATTAACATACTAAAATAAAATATTAATTATATATCAATAGAAATTGAGAAATATATCAATTACAGCAATTTCCTATATATTCTATATCGTCAGCTAATTTGTCAGCAGTTTAGTATCGCCTCCATACTGTGACGTCACTTATCAAAATAAATAAGAAATTTAGGTCACTTTACGAATATTGTTCCAAAATGAAATTCAAGTTCAAGGAAGAGCACACATTTGGTAGGTTTTCTATTCCCCCTGCGTATAAAATCATCCTTACCGATTTTACTGTCCCGGTGCCATTTTTACATCACAATAAAGATAATTTTAAAGGGGTCATGATCATGGTCACTTGACATGAATTTCCATTTTCTTTTCTAGATTTTCTGTTGTCATTTTAACTTTATCTTGGAATTTTCAAGTGCAAGAACAATATTTCTGGTTTTTTTTTCTGTTTTATACTCAAATTAGAAATTATGATCTAATAAAATGCTACATGTGTACATGTACATCATAATTATTGAATTTTGTCATCAATTGTTCATAATTTTCTTAATAATAAGAATTAATTTGGGAAATCCTGTCATTAAACTGTCCAAACACAACTGATAATCACAGCAATTCCACTCTCGGAGAATAAAAGGGAATTAGACTTCTGTCAAACTAAGGCAAAGTTCCTGCAAAGTGATGCACATGCCGTGACATGGGAGACAAGACACTTCATCCCCTGGGCAGGCACCTAAGTCTTAGCCACTTAAATTTGTAGACATTTAGCCCCTCAAGACACTTCTGTACCTGAAATCTGTAAGACATTTGACACCTCAACCCTATTTATTCTAGAGTAAATATTTCAACAACAATTATGCCCTTGTTATGTTAATTTTTTTACTTTAGAATATGTAACTCCAGGCATTTTTAAGTATATTTATAAAATATAACATACATGTACTGGTCGGGGACCATCAACCGGACACTTTTTGAACATTTTTGCGTACAGAATTCATAATTTTTAACCTAGAGACCAAAAAAATTGACATGGTTCAGCTAGGTTCTTCTCCTAACTAACAAACTAGTTTGTTTATTTCTGATTGTATTAACACTTATATCTGAGGCTCGACAAGGAGGGTATCAAAATTACCTAAATTGTCTACACTACAGTACCATGTGTCTCCGGACAGATATGTACATTACATGATTTAATTCAGATAAAAGCTTGGGTGTTTTGATTTTTAACATGATATACATTATTTCAGCAACAAATGCTGAAGTTTTGGATATATTCTATTGTTTACTCTGCAAATGATAATAGCTGGTATATGAGGTCAGGCATTGCTTTCGTGACCCCCAAATTTCAACGTAAACATTCTTGAAATAGACATTAAAATATTACCATTTACGGAGGTTGAAATAAATTTATTGGCTTAATTTTAGAAGAAACATGAACGAAGAAAATACTATATTAAGCATTTTGATGGTTGTCCGGGTTTGGTGGTCCCCAACCAGTAAGCATAATTTATAAATTATATCACGAAAGACAATTTAATTACAGTTACATGAACCATATAACATAAAACTTTTTATAACAACATGTAATCATAACAAAACGAAAGAAAAATAAACATGAGAGAGAGCTTTGTATAATTGCTGACAAATATAATTATGTGTGTTTCAACATGAACAGTAAACTGTCAAGGAACAAGAATAAGGCAGTGTGAAAGAAATTAAAAGTACATGTATCATCATAAAATTTAATCTTGGAAAAATCACAGATTTTAAATTCATGCATGAGTGACAGTGATTTTTCTGCTTATATAACAGACTCCGAAAAAGGGCCTCTTCCCAATTGAAATTTTCTTTAAAATCATGCAGTTTTCCCAAAAATCTGAATTTAAACCTGGTTTTTTGGTTCCCAAATTAGCAATTTTAGGGATAATTTTTCCCAAAATCAAGAGGCTAAGGCCAGTCTTCCCATTTAAGTGAGAAAAATCACTGAGTGATAAACAATAAAATATTTTGATATGTGAACCTTTCATTGCAAGTTTAGAAATTACAATAATAAAAATATTTTAGAAAGAAAATATGTTCATTTAATAATGACCATTTTTATTTGCTCTAGCCAGATTTCAAAAACATCCAGCCCTTTTTTAAGAAAAAAAAAACAAAAACAACATTGTTACAACAATATTTCTATTTTATTAATATGTCTACATAAATAAATTTATAATACATGTGTATATAATAAAAAACAAATTAAAACAACAAATATATTTAATCACATAGATTACAAAGTTCTCACATTTTTCAACATTTTTTATATGAAACGCTTAATCAGAAAATGAGGGGTGAAGTGTATCAGATTTCATAAAAAGAGAGGTGAAGATTCTGCCAAAACTGACTTTGGGTGAACTGTCTGTAAATCACATCTAGTAAATGTCATGTGCTATTATACTATTTAACTAGTTCAAAATCACTGTAAGCCTATTTCAGAGTTTTTAACATACACTATATTAAACTCTCTGTCTCTGAAAAAGTGTTGTAATAACTATTGTATCATAGTTTGGGGACATTGCTGTTGAAAATGTGTCAGAGTTAAATCGTATACATAATACATGCACATTGCGTTAACTGGAGCGCAGGTATTAGTTACCCTGCAGAGCATGCTCATTGATTGGTTCATTTTGTCTGGGGTTTACACATTGTGATGACGGGGAAAGGGAAAGCGATAGAAATATTATTTTCAGATGCTCGTTCATTGGTTCCTTTTTTCTGGGGTTTCATATTGTGACATCAGGGAATGTGTTTTTATTTTTGACTATGATACAAAAGAGAAAGAACATCAAAACACTCGGCAATCTGATTTATACTCATTTATCTGATTTATACAAATCAGATAGCCTCGTGTTTCGATGCTCTTTCTATTACATATTCAACCCATCACTTGTCAGACTAATATTCGACTTTTCACTTGTTATACTAATATTCGACTTCTCACTTATTATACTTATATTCAACTTCTCACACTAGACATTGGATACTGTTACAGCATATATACTAATATGCTAAAAGTAAATTCCGTTACAATTCCTCATATCATTCAAAATATATGACATATACTAAATTCCTGTACAATTACCTTGTCTCGACATTGCATTTATAATAATCATATAGTATTTGTACTGCTTATTGAAACTAGTTATAACAGTGGTATTAATTTATTAGTATCTATTTGCCACATTTCCCCTTCTTTCTTGAGGTTTGCTCAAGAAATAAGAGGGCAATATAACATTTTACTGTTGCATAACCCTTAACTGCACAGGGCCAAATAACCCTTCTTTGTAGAGGCCTAATAAAGACTGCTTCCATAACCAAACTAAGCTCTTTTTTCCCCAGTTTGGTCCTCAAAATTCCCCAGTCTTTTGAAATTTTGATAGAATTTTGAACAAAATAAATGATGGTGTTGAATTAAGGTCTTTTACTGCCTTATTAGTATTTCCAAGTGCTTTTTGCTTTTCTATTTTGAAGAACTTGTTATAAGTTTGTGTTAAATTTGAGACCCTTTTCCCTAAGTATGCCAAAATCACGCATATTTTCCCCAAGAAAAAGGCTGAGGCCCCTTCCCCAAAAATGGTGTTTTGGCCCTGCTGCATTACATAGATATAAAAACAAGCGTAATATTTATTTCAGATCAGAGGAAGGCAGAATCAACAAAAATAAGAGACAAGTACCCAGAGAGAATCCCGGTAATAGAATTTTTACTATTTGATTATACATGAATTAGCTATTGAACAATGCTTGAATTAGAATTTTAATTATGCTCAGGACGATATTCATTAGAATCTTCCTTTACTAGGAACCTTATTGAAAGAATGATTCATAAATTATGTGAACCTGAATTATGTCCATGTTACTGCTAAACACAGATACTAAGGAAACTGGATAATTTATTTATACACCCAATCTGTATCACATTGTTTCATGTAAGAAGGAATGACTGCAAAACTGTTTTTATTTTCTATAATTTTTTTTATCCCTAATACCAATAAAGAAAAAAGTAATTTAATTTGCATATTAACACAATTAATTTTTTATATATATTTGTTCACATGACAAAAGTTTTAGTTATTTAGAGTACTTTTTTAACTGACAAATCTAGAAAAAAAAAAGAAAAAAAAAGAAGAGAAAAAACAATATTTCTTGGAAAAAAATTATGTTGTACAACTTGTGATTTATAAGAAACATATTTATACAGCAACGTTTTATCTACATGTTTATTTAAGGATCATAAATTTTGCTATTACATGATTGTATATTTTTTTCACTCAGGTGATTGTTGAGAGAGACCCGAAGTCACAAATTCAAGACATAGACAAAAGGAAGTTTCTGGTACCAAATGATATTTCAGTTGCTCAGTTTATGTGGATAATAAGAAAGAGGATACAATTGCCTTCAGAAAAAGCCATATTCCTGTTTGTTGAAAAAGTTCTTCCACAGTCAAGGTAATTTTAATCTCGTTTTTTACAGGCAATTTTTCCAAAACTTTGTTCATACAAAATTACATTTACTACTTTTGACTCCACGCCTCATTGACTAACCAGTGCCGCCGCCATTACCATATATAGTTAAATCACAGAGTTGGAAAGACCCCCTGACAGTAGAATCTATCTTTGGTGCAGGCAAGTGATTTGAAATCAGTGTCTGTCAGTATCTTTCTTGTAAGAAAGCTACCCAACGATCTTATAAATGTTTAAGGCTATAACTCGTACACATGTGCCTGTTTATGTATGAAATAATGCACTTGAACAAAATGAGGACATTTATTTTAAGGTCTTCTGCCAAAAGAGCTAACAAAAAAGATGTACATTTACATGTATGTCTTTCTAAATGATTCCTCCACCCCATCCCCCCCCCCCCCCCCCCTTCTATAGCTGGCCGAGTGGCTGTTTATAGTCTGCTTCGCCTCAGGAATATTCTTTAAAAACATGCAGTTTTCTCCCTTTAATTTACATCAAGGGTTTTTTCCCCTGTTGTTGCAAAAATTAAACCAAATTTAAGGATATGGCCACTTTCCCTTTCTTTGTAAAAAGCTCTGTATGACTACACTTTGGAAGTACATCCCTGTTGCTAAGGCCTATGTCCTATTTGTTCTTTGAAGCACATTGATTAATACTGTAAAAAGGTCAAGTCATTGTTTTTGCACTGGGAAACACATGTAACTGTGTACACACATGTATATTATAACAGTAACTAGATTTGTCAATAATAATGTCATACATAATTATTATTATTACATGTATGTTTCATTTGATGACAGTCAAAGGCAATAGTTTGAAGGAATTTTTTAGTTGATAGTACATATTGTTTAAATTTAATCAAACTGTCAACTTTCTCAATAAAGACTTAGAATTTTTATACGCAGTGCCAGGGATTTTTTTATTTTTATCTATTTCCAATTCATTGAAGTGAATTGTCAACTTTTCAAGACATATTAATGTGTCATCTGTCACCTTTGGGTCATTAACTTTTAAACTTTTAGTATATTCACTGTATTTATATAAGTGTAAAGATGGTTAATGTTATTGTAAGTACATCATGTAACATGTACAAGATAAAAGGTCATCCTAGGTCAAGTGAATAAAGGTCACTAACCTAGAATCATGTGCACGTGACTGCAATGGGTTTGAATGTAGTACAAAGATGTTGAATAATATACATGTATTATGTGAGGAAGTTGTGCAGCTCTTGAAAATGTTGATAATCAACTGGTATCTACTGGTTTCAATGTCATGTTGAAATATTGCAGGGACGGGCTCTAGAGGTCTTCTAAATTCTTGGGAAAGTACAGTGTTAACATCACCTAAAACCTCAAACTAAATAATTATTGGCAATATCTTCAGTTCTGTTGTTGACTGTTTAGTAATAATATTTTATTGTTATGAATGATGTTTCTAAATCATTACATTGATATATTCCAATACAAACATGTGTTACAATTTGTACTGTTAAAACTTTGTTCTCATTGTTGTAGAGTGCCTCTCCCCTTTTCTAGATTTTTATACTTCACAACAGCAGGTGTCAATTTGCTGTGTAGCAGCAGTTATGTTACCCATAATTCACTTCAGTATTACTAAATTTTTCTGGTCCTTTGGTATCATACTTAAATCATGTTGAAGATTGAAAACCACTTGAACTTGACCTTGTGTATAAAGGGGACATGAGGGATATTGTACTTTCAATTTTCTACCATTGAGCAGACTCAATTATACCAAGTCGGCAGATTTCACTTTAAAACTTTGTTTTCATTGTTTCTAGAGATCTCTTTATTTAGTGTTTTTTCACCTTATATAATAGAGGCCTGTAAAATTATGGACTCTTCCTAATGGAAATTTCTTTAAAATCATACAGTTTTTTCCAAAATATAAACTTACAACAGCTTTGATACTTCCCAAATTAACAATTTTAGTGATACATGTAGCTTTTCCCAAAATCAAGAGCTTTAAAGGGCCACTTCCCAATTAAGTGAGAAAAACCACTGCTTTTTTCCAGATTTTTTATGTTTGATTATCATCATCTAACATAATATTGTGAAATATTTCAGCGTGAGCATGGGATAATTATCTAACATAATATTGTGAAATATTTCAGCGCGAGCATGGGATAATCATCTAACATAATATTGTGAAATATTTCAGCGTGAGCATGGGATAATCATCTAACATAATATTGTGAAATATTTCAGCGCGAGCATGGGATAATCATCTAACATAATATTGTGAAATATTTCAGCGCGAGCGTGGGATAATCATCTAACATAATATTGTGAAATATTTCAGCGCGAGCATGGGATAATCATCTAACATAATATTGTGAAATATTTCAGCGTGAGCATGGGATAATCATCTAACATAATATTGTGAAATATTTCAGCGTGAGCATGGGATAATCATCTAACATAATATTGTGAAATATTTCAGCGTGAGCATGGGATAATCATCTAACATAATATTGTGAAATATTTCAGCGTGAGCATGGGATAATCATCTAACATAATATTGTGAAATATTTCAGCGTGAGCATGGGATAATCATCTAACATAATATTGTGAAATATTTCAGCGCGAGCATGGGATAATCATCTAACATAATATTGTGAAATATTTCAGCGTGAGCATGGGATAATCATCTAACATAATACTGTGATATATTTCAGCGCGAGCATGGGTCAGGTTTACGAAGAACATAAAGACGAGGACGGTTTCTTGTACATAGCATACAGTGGGGAGAATACATTCGGAGAAAATTAAATCATACAGGACAATTGTTTGTTGTGATATAGTATAATTTTTGTTATATATTTGGGGGTATCATCTCTGTAAATCGTAAATCGCTGTAAAGAAATGGTTGCTTCTCTAAATTCATTATTCTGGTAAAATGTTGCACTATTCCCATTGTAACTTGGAAGAGATTTTGCATTCATTTTTTGAAAATTTTTACTTTTTTTTTTCTTTGATAAAATCATGTATTTTTTACTCAGTATTTGGTCTTAATTAAGATTAGAAGATTATATATGGCCAAAATGTTTTAGAATTAGTTATCAGCACATTTATTTTCTGTCTTGTATCGGGCATGGCTTCGAGATATGATTTTTTTTTTTTGGCACAAATGTTATTTTAAAAAGATGAACATTAGTCATTTCATAAGTAATACTTGATTTTTGATGTTGTTTTCATTAAACGCTTGCCTTTTTTGTGATTTTTTTTTGTTAAATATAAATATAGACTTGTTATGATAAAGATTTTTGGAACAATTTTATGCAAGAGTTTTTTTTGTTTGTTTTGTTTTCTTCTCTGTAGTATTAAAAGTATTTTTTACTCTGTCCTGTGAACATTTATTACTATCTGTTTTGTTTTTTTCAATACAATTCAGATTGTTTATTTCATCATTTGTATTAGTCTGTTTAGTTTTGTACTTTAGAACAAATTTTTAAATATAGTACAAACTGTATATACTAGGCCAAGTTACAAACCTATTGTATCAGAATTCAGATATCAAGAAATACTAAAGATGAATTTATTATCAAGTGGAAGAAACAGTCAAGACGGTATAAGTTTAAAGGTTTTATTTAATGATAATAAACAACTACGGTATTCCACCCTCACGAGTCTTGATCACCTCACCGTTGTAAAATATCAGGATACATATATATAGAAATCAAAGTCTTAACGTATAAAAATTTGTTATATTTATAGTCACATGATTTGTTCTTAAAATAAATTTTAGGTCATTTCAGATATCAGAAATTTTAAAATGTTTATTTGTTTTGTCTGAGACATGAGCTATAAATAACTCATGAGCTATAAATAACTCATGCAGATGACATCATTATTAACTCTTTAATCAGATGATTTTTTTGCACTCACTTTTTTGTTATCATTGAAAGGTACATGGATTTTTTCTCACTTTTTTTTTCAATTTAATTTACTGAATCTGTATATTCCTAGGGTTATATTTAGTTGTTTTGATCATGTGTAATTTGGTAAAAAAATGCATTGTATGATTTACTAGTAAATGGTTGCACAGTTGTATATGCTTCCAAGAATTTTACCAAACACTGTAAAGCTCTCCAAATACAAAGACCCTGACCAATCCAATAAAACTTGTATGATTTGATTTTAGTACTAATTTGAAATTGAGCAATAAAATTGTTGTATTTTTTAGACTGGATTTCAGTCTTAGATCACATTTCAGTTTTGTATTGCACTGAGGAAATTGTAATGTGCCGGTATATAAAGCTAAAGGGAAGAAATTGTGTTACATGAAACACATTTACTGTTGTTAAATTGGCTTTAATTAAGTTTTCTTATGAATTGTAAGCATAGTTCTCTCCCTTGACTGTGTGAAATGTGAACTCTGCACAGTTTTCTCCCTTGCTATGTGAAACTGTAAATTCCATGCAAAAAATGTGAAATGTTTACCCCATACAGAATTTTCTCCCTTGCTATGTAAAAATGTGCTATACATGTATGTGAAATTTAAGTAGCTTTATCTATATTTTATGTGGATTGTTGGTGTAATTGTTTTAAAAGCATTGGAAAAAAAGGCATTTCACTTCAGATAAATCGTTAATAGGAAGACTAAGTTAAATTCATACATGTTAAAAGAAATTATCACATTTTTATTTTCTTGGAACCTTCCTACCTTATGGTAATGTTGGAGATAAGAGACTTAATACTTCCAGTTTGTTGGTGAAGTGTTTGGATGATTGTTAAATAATTTATATAATTAGCATTTGAAGTGAATATCTCTAATTGTAATTTGAACGTAGTTATAAAATGAAAAATAAATCATTGCAGACCTTCACAGGGAAACGCCTTCTATAATTGAAAAAGAAAACATTACAGGCCTTTAAAGTGACACGCCTGCAGATGAATAAAACAATCACTAAGAAATATTTATCTATAGTATAGGAAACATATATATATATTATAAATATTCACTAGCCTGGTTAAACTTTGAAAATATAACATAAAATATGACAGAAACAATACTTTAGCCAGTAAAATTCTACCCTGTCAGTTAGCAAAGATATCTGGATATTTTGACATGTAATAAGTAATTTCTGTGAATTTTTTTCCCAAGGCTAGATCAGATCATATAATTTGTACACTTGACAACTTTTTACTCATTAGATCAAGTTTATGACATTTTGCTAATAAGAACAATTTTTTTTTTAACCTTTCATTAGGAAATAAACACAAATCTGGAGGTGTGCTGCTTTAAGCCATTTACTGTACATGTATTTACAATACTGATCTACAAAATCAGTGCTACTTTTTTCAATCTCTTAGCTGAGCGATGTAGACATCTGACTGCTGAATGATTTTTTTTAGCTCACCTGAGCTTGCTCAGGGTGAGCTTTTAGGATCGGTGAATGTCCGTCGTCCGTCGTCCGTCGTCCGTCGTCCGTCCGGCCGTCCACAATTTCTTGTGAACACTCTAGCGGTCGCATTTTTGCCTCAATCATCATCAAACTTGGTCAGGATGCTTATCTAGTTGAAAGCTCGGATGAGTTCGAACATGGGTCATCTCGGATGAAAAACTAGGTCACAAGAGCTAAAAATAGAAAAACCTTGTGAACACTCTAGAGGTCACATTTTTGACCCAATCATCATCAAACTTGGTCAGGATGTTTGTCTAGGTGATAGCTCGGATGAGTTCGAACATGGGTCATCTCGGATGAAAAAGTAGGTCACAGGAGCTATAAATAGAAAAACCTTGTGAACACTCTAGTGGTCACATTTTTGAACCAATCATCATCAAACTTGGTCAGAATGCTTTGTCTAGTCAATTGCTTGGATGAGTTCGAACATGGGTCATCTCTGATGAAAAACTAGGTCACAGGAGCTAAAAATAGAAAAACCTTGTGAACACTCTAGTGGTCACATTTTTGACCCAATCATCATCAAACTTTGTCAGGATGCTTGTTTAGATAATAGCTCAGATGAGTTCGAATATGGGTCATCTCGGATGAAAAACTAGGTCACCGGAGCTATAAATAGAAAAACCTTGTTAACACTTTAGCGGTCACATTTTTGCATCAATCATCATCAAACTTGATCAAGATGCTTGTCTAGGTGATAGCTCGGATGAGTTCGAACATGGGTCATCTCGGATGAAAAACTAGGTCACAGGAGCTAAAAATAGAAAAACCTTGTTAACACTCTAGTGGTCACAATTTTGACTCAATTGTCATCAAACTTGGTCAGGAAACTTGAATAGGTCATTGCTTGGAATAAATCGAACATGGGACATCTCGGATGAAAAACTAGGTCACATGAGCTAAAAATAGAAAAATCTTGTTAACACTCTAGTGGCTACTGTTGTGATCCAAATATTCTGTTAATTGGTCTGAAAGTTTTTTTTTGATGATTTCTAAGTCAAGATCAAACATGGGTCATCTTGGATGAAAAACTAGGTCACACCGCCCAAATATGGAAAAACCTTGTTAACATTCTAGTGGTCACATTTTCGACTCGATTATCATCAAACTTGGTCAGGATGCTTGTCTAGGTAATTGCTTGGATTAGTTAGAAATCGCATGTGAAACTAGGTCACCGGAGCTAAAAATAGAAAAATCTTGTTAACACTCTAGTTGCTACTGTTTTGATCCAAGTATCCTGGAAATTGGTCTGAAAGTTTGTTTTGATGATTTCTAGGTCAAGTTTGAATATGTGTCACCTGGGTAAAAAACTAGGTCGCACTGCTCAAATATGGATAATCCTTGTTAACACTGTAGTGGTCACATTTTTGACTCACCTGTCATGAGACTTGGTCAGAATGCTTGTCTAGGTAATTGTTTGGATGAGTTTGATAATTCAGGTGAGCGATCTAGGGCCATCATGGCCCTCTTGTTTGATGTTCTACAAAATAACTATGTACTAGATAAAGGTATAATATTATATACAGTTTAATTTTCAGCCATTTTGTAATCAGATGCTACATGCTAACTGTAAATGCTTACTGTCATTCTTACTGTGCATGCTACAGTTGTGACCTATTAATGTGCATGCCCATATTTTTTAAACAAATGCTTCGTGGACTTTTCCAAGTTTTTAGTGGTGAAATATTTAGCTTTCTTGATTTCTAGGTCTGTTGTCCACAAACAGGGCCAGAAACAAGAACATGCATACTTTAATGTAAACCAGGTCAACCATAGACTGTATATTATCCAAATGTTGCAATCGGATACCCAGTAAACCAATTTTAGTAAAATTGTAAAGACTTGAAAGGTCCATTAAAAGTATAAAATATCACTGTGCATGTAAGGGAGGTAACTCTCAATTTAACTGTAGCTTTATTTAGATGATACATGATATTTTGTTTACATGTTTTAATACATCATTCATGCACCTGACAGAGGTTGTATTTCTCACATTTTTTGCTCTGTATTATACAGAAATATAAAAAGGAGGAAGAGGCCCTGCCATTGTCCAATGATACTTACTTTGTCTCTCTATTCTTGAAATTTGCTTAAATTTTGTTTGAAACAAATAGTATTATTTAATCCTTGAAAAGTCTGATATTTGAAGATTTATTGATTATACTGCAATAAGCCTCTCCCATACACCACCCCCAAAGTTATTTAATATACATTTATAAGTGTTAATAACAGTAAGCCAGTTGATTTCACAGAAATTTGCATGTCCTCTAAAATAAAATCCCCTGCTGGTATGATATAGAATGTACATGTATGTATAGATGTGTATACATTATATATGAAAACGCTTGAAGGTGGGCCTAATATGGTAAAATGGAAAATGTTACTGCTATGGCTTGCTTGAGCCTGTTTATGGATTGCAGGGAACGAGCTACAGCTATTGTCACTGACCGCGCCACCCCCAACACCATCGATCCCTAGCTCTACAGACTGCAAAAATCGGTTAAGCAGAATTGAGCATCTACTTATAGAATAGAATTAAATTTAGAATTTTAATAACATATTCTGAAGATTTTAGTAATGAAATGATGTAATCTATTAAAATAAAGCTGGAACAATTCTGAAATTAAATGTTAACTGATCTAAGAGAAAAGATGGACATTTTTAGCCCGACTATTCAAGCAAAAAGGAGAGCTATTGTACCCACGTTGGTGTCGCTGTCACAATTTGTTTTAGTGTCCAGCTTTATTTGTCATCCAATGAAAACGCTGTATTTCTTAAAAATTATGTGTGTTAATTTTCATAGAAGAAAAAAAGTCGATACTATATTGAAATCCGTTCATAGTCGCCTTCTATTTTTCATAGTGCTTCATAGTACCGCGTAGTGACGTAATCAAGGTCCAAATAAAGCTTGACACTAAATATGTTAGTGTTCATCCTAAGCTGTTCTACAGAAATTAGAAACATTCTCCTGTCGCTATCGCTCCGGTCGAAGTTTCTAATTTCTGTAGAACAGCACGGATGAACACTAATATATACGAAGTTTCTGCGTGCAAGTAGCTGTCATCAAAGGGAAAGGGTTGAAACTTCACACACTTGTTCTCTGTGATTATCTAACGTGATGAGCACAGGTCCTGTAACTCTTGAGTTTCTTTTTAACAGTGTTATCCCCCCTTTTTTATTGTCAAGAACTGAGAATAATCTAGCTTGCTGTTTTACAGACAGCTCTTGTTATGTATGGTAAAGGCTGTTATTGCTTATAATTATATGAAGTAGTGGTTTTTGATTTATTGTAGAAATGATGCATTTGCACTGACAATAATTAGTAATTGTATAAAATGAAAGTGATTGAGTGTTGTTGTTGTTGTTAGTTGTAATCATAGAAAAAATGTCATGACATTAATAAACATTGTGTATTTTTCATACTCGACCTTTTGACAGATGAGTTATTATTGAATAAAAGTTATATCGTCATTTCGTCTCTGTGTTATTTGATGTCACAGGTTCATGGTAGTTAGTCTTTCACTGTTTATTATTTCTATAGAAAAATATCATGTAATATATCCCATTGTCATTACTTACTTGCATTGTAATATTTTGTAATTTAGTTTGCACATCATTGATTTTCACCACTCGAATCCCGACAGGGACTTTGGATTCTTTCATGTGAGGAAGCTTTCCAACTAGCTTACGGAATGTCCTTGGTTCTACTCAGGTTCCCGTTCGTGCCTGAAATAATGCACAGAAGGGCATCTGAGATCTTTTTCCTTCAGTAATGCGGGAACGTCGCCATATGACCATATACTGTGGCGGTGTGACGTAAAACCGATTCAAACAAACAAAAAGCTTTGGTTTTTATGAAGCTATAAGCTTTATATAGACACTCTGGAATCATACAGTACTGAGCAATGAGTGTAAAGTTTCTTGCTTTTGGTAACAACAACTTGCCTGACATGGTTTGAACTCTTTCATTTCTCAATGTGTCTTGAATGGACTCCTTGACAGTGTCCAAATATTTTTGATAACAGAGTCCATATGTGTGACATATGTAAATTAGAGGGAGTTTTAAACATTGAGTTTGTATCAATATGAAATTAAATGAAAATCACCGTATTGCTAAACAGTGCACTGGTTATTTCTACATTATTTAACTGAGTGTCTTTATGTACATGATTATTTACACTTTTTATCTGACATTCTATTCACTTTTATTAAATGATAACAGACATAAATGGGTTGAATAATGGGATAATGCATCCCTGGTTCATACATTAAGTTTTGTTGAGAGCATAATTATTTTATTCCACATTGATGGAGGAATTTTAGTGCTTTACACAAATCTTTACCATCATGTGACATTGTGAGCATGTACCAGGTCAAAGGTCAAAGTCACACTTAAAACGCTTGTGTGGAGCAAAACTTCTACAGCATTGGTAATGTGAAGCGGTTTGAACAGTTTGAAAATGAACTTTTCATGTGGTTTCATCAGATTGCAAAATGAACGCATGAGCAGGCGGATTTTTTGGTTACTCCAGTTTTCATGGATATCTCACATGTTATCGATCACTGAACCTTTAAATTCCAAAATTTTCGTTCCAAATGTTTGAGCAAACAGAAGCAATAGATGAAGGTCTGTTCGGTTCTGTGAAAATATAATAAATCCTCATTGCTAAAACTTTGAGTAAAATATTTGCAAAATACAACATCATTGGTTGATGGGACTTAAATTTCCTGTATGTTATAATTAAAGATGGAACATACACTTAAAGATCCTGTGACTCAAAATTTTATGTTCTTATATGAAAAATCTTTGGCTTAAATAAAGAATTAACAATGTTAAAAGTTACAGAAAACCTTTTTGATAAGGATATTGCCAAAATTTAAAATTTCCGATAATAAAAGGAGATAATTAGAGATCTGTTTTTGGTAAAAAAAAATCAGTTTTGCATTCAAATAAAAAATTCACAACCTTTTTTCCTCAAGAAATATCATATAATGTGTTTAATAATGTCAACTTCTATATGTTTTTCATAAGAACTGACTTTATATACAACTTTCGCAAGGATGTTACATCCTTAATTATTACATACAGGATCAGGTATGTAATCGCATATGATCACTCAAAGCTTTCTTTTACAGTGTTTGCCACACATATCACACATAATAATGTTATCTTTGCTTTCATCACTACGAGAGTGAATATTCCTTTCATGTGCAATAAGGTTATCTTTTCTAGTAAAGACACGCTCACAAACTCTACATTGGAAATCCTCTCTTTCCTCGTGGGCTTGAAAGTGTCTTTTCAGACTGTCCTTCCTCGAATAGGCCTTCCCACATATCTGGCACACATGTTCGGTCTGTGATATTGTAACTAAAAAACAGGAAATTATGATCTTGAAAATGTTTCATGATAATCTTTATATGTGCGTGTGCGCGCGTGCGTGTGTACGTGTCACAATAAATTACAAGAATATCATCAGATTGTACGAAATCCGATTTTAAGCATAAGTCTTGTCTTCAATTCACTGTAAAAATTTCGAATGAATAACACACACGCATGCACGCACACTAACTTTAAGTTACTTTTAACTGTAATAAAATTGTAAGAATATGAGCGAGATTTTGCGAAAGACATTTTAATAGCATTTTCTTTTTACAATGGTATCTTATGTTTGGTAGCAAAAATTAATGGAGAATGCTGATAGCAAAGTATTTGAGAATCTGGACATTGCTTAAAGAAGTCAAGACTATTAAAGAAAATGTATCCTAAATTCTTACAACAGGATTGATCACTTCTCAAATTAAAGTGTACAAATCTATATCTGATGAAAAGTATTGCAAATATTTAAAAGCAGCATAAGTACATTGTTTCCATTACTGTTGTGACAAAGAATGCCTCTGTTATTTTACAGATACGACAAATGTACGTTATCTGAAATAAAATGTTCCCCCTACTTATTTTAATTGGCTTATTGATTATTTTATGCATGTTCCACCCCATATCAATACAAAGGTAGACGCATTTCTTCCATTTTTAGGTATTTTGTATCTATTCTAATCATGTTACAAACGATAAAACATCGAATATATAGCATTATACACTTTAAAACCATAAAATAAAAGCAAACCTTCCGTTCCCATGGCTGGCACTGGTGGTTCTTCCACGGGTATTATGGCGTCGTATTCTTCAATATTCTGTAATATTGATAAAAATACACTTCATTCTAAGTGATAATTTTTGTGTTCTTAGGTGAAATGGGTCAGCTCTCTTCTACGCAAATTTTTTATCTGTTTAACAAGTACAACAGCAATTCCGTATATATTATGTACAAGACAATTTGCACAGTGCAATTATTATTTCTTACCAAATCATAAGCATGTCGACATGCAACATAAATTTCGCATTAAAATGGCTTTAATTTAGTTATCAATTATTTGTACCTTTACCAATTGCTTTGCATTGGACGGCATTTAGCACCATACACCACCAAGAGTTACTGGGCTTACATAAACATATTCTATAAGCTTGTAATTCGTCGTTTAAAAAAGAAATTTATATCGAAATGTTGAATATTTAAACGTGATTCGTGTATAATATATTTTCATATGCTCATACTATAAAAATAGGGGAGAAATAATTGTACAAAATAACATGTATTGGAGAAATTCATGAAATTACATCAATGCTACAGAACAGAACAGGCTTTTGGTGGATGAGGATATGTTAATAAAGAACCTTTAGAGCGATACAAATGTTTAGAAGTTTGCTTGGATGTCAAGTTATTGGCTATCAAAGAGCGATTTTACCAATTTTGTGACTTTTCTTGTGCAGTTGTCGATAATGATCTAATAAGTTAACAAAGATTTGGCGAGTTTGAGATGCCTGTCGGATAAAGTAATAATACGAGATCAGAATAGGCTATAAAGTTTTGTGAGATATGCATTTTCAAAGAAATTGAAGACAATTTTCTTACCACAATATCGGTTTTCCACCTGTAAAATTGATCTCTTCATGCGTTCTCCGCCTGGGAAACATAGTGAACGATTGGACTCGGTGATTGAGAGATTGAAATATACCTGTAACTTAAAACAAATGTTCACATTGTGAAATGTTGTGTCATGCACAAAATTTAAATCTGTGTGACATTGGTCAATCTTTCATTTAAAGCTGCTTTTTTGTTTCAAAATATCACGACTAGCGGACATAACACTCGAAAATTAAATCAGTCGTTTGCCAATATAGTCTATAACTCGAATGACTTTATTGGTGCATATATATATTCAGAGATGTATACATTGTATATCATGATTATATAATAAACTTTCCTGATTTATTGAAACAAAATGCAAATGTTGCAGATCCTGATTAACGGAGCCCTTTTGTTGATGTCAGTGGCTAAATGCACCCCAACCCCTAGCACCATGGCTCAACTGACAGTCCTAATTATTAACTTAACGTCATATTTCTAGTACGTGCAAATACGTTCTGCATACGCAACTAAAAGTACCTACACGTTGAAGTTTGCAGTTATCTAAACATATTTAAGATAACGTTTTATGACGTCATTTACTTTTAAAGTCGTGTTCTTTGTAAGATATTTAACATATGCTTAAATATATCTATAATTAATAAGGCACCCCCATACATTTTCAATAAGTACTGGTGTTCATCTAAAAGTATAAAATGAAATGAAATTCAAAATAATATCTTGCCGCTTCATTGAAGTATCCCATTTCATACTGTATTATTTCAAGTACGTTATTTACCATCTGGAACGAACGTCATGTGAATTTTCAGTTTATCTGAACTTGAAAAACGAGACTTAGCTAAGCTTTATATTTGCCCATTAAAGTTTCGAGTGATTTTATATTACTGTCCCATATATATCTAGTCTGATAACGTTAAAATCCAGGCCGAGGGTTTTAAAGGCATATCTTTGCAGGGAAGATTTTCATTACAATGTTTCATATACAATGTAAACGGTAAATTTTGCATTTGAAGTTTTGTTTTCACGTTCTACCCTATCGTCATACTGTGATCACATAGGATTTTGTCTTTACAATGTGTATCCGTGGATTGTTAAGGAACAATTCTTTTTCTAGTGATATTTAAATGGATATATAAAGCTATAAAATAGTGTTATTGGTTTTTAAATGACCACTTTCATCTTGAAAGTATGACCGCGATTTAATGTGTAAAGTAAACAACGAATCACTTCAGATAAGCAAAATAATACATTGTATGCAAACGTTTTTTAGTGTTTAGAAATTTTCCTATTACTTATTTACATTATCACACATATATCAATATAATTGAAAACTGCATTGAAGTGTGGATATGCGGCGGAGTCTCATAAAATTATTTATTATCACAATCAATTGTAATAATATCAAATGAAATTTGAAATATAGAAAATATGGATTGAAATGGTTTGGACGGAGTCCCACACTTGTCTTCAAATGATAACCACGCCAGGACAAGAGTCATTCTATTAAATGTATGATAAGATAATGCGGTCTGGTTGATAACGATAAAACACTCATTTAGTTATCAACGATATGAAAAATATCGTAATAGTTACTTATTTTTGGCTATAGGAATTTAGTGCTAAAAGAATTTTTTAAAAATGGATGCCATTCACAACAATATTGGTTCAAATTTAACAGACTATTTCACCTTCACGGAACCGTTACTTCTTTTCATGTTTCTTGCAAAACAATTTCCAATGAACATAAGCTTCCCATGCACTCATGTTGGACATGAATATTCATTTATATTGTCGAGCCATTCAGAAGAAATATTTACGATTGGAAGCAATAAAAGCACAACTTTCACGTGTATTGGAAATGATAATCCACTTACTCAAGTCTACACTATTGGCATGGTAAAAGAAAGTATTGATGTGCAATTACATGGAAAGCTTTTAGGGATCTCGAAACTTCAAATTGTGATTTCAGGACCTGATCCCGATGAAATTATATTTAATGGGACGTCTAGTAAGACAAAAACATTTCATACTGCAGAACCAGACGCTAGAAAAACACAGCAAGAATTTGTGTTTCCAGTAACAGTTCTAAGAAGTATTCGGCCAATAGACAAAATATTTATGATATTAATGACAGCGTTTCTTTTTCTTATAACATTGGGGTTCGGTTGTAAACTTGATTTAGGCATCGTAAAAGAGTGTTTAAAGAAACCGGTCGCTCCAGGGATTGGGTTCGGATGTCAGTACCTAGTAATGCCACTGGTGAGTATTAAATTAAAACTTGTTAGTGCATTCGTAGTAATGAAGGAACATTTTAAAAAATGAGACTGCAATTTTTATTATTATTTTGCTATAAGCGTTTTCCATTAAGTACACTTATGTACTTATATGAATCTGTATAGCGGATGTACTCTTACTTCAATGTACATTGAGTCACTGCATGAAGTGTTATATAGTTCCCTTAATTTTATAAAATTTAGCCACGTCAATCAACATGAATTACGAAGCTGCACATGTTGGATATTTGATATTATTCAGGGTAATACGAAAGTTAGACTATCACCTAATGTACTTTTAGATATACACAATGTATGTAAATATTAATATTAATAAATCTTTAAGTACATGTATAATTCAATTTTGACTAAGTTAATCATGACTTATACATATATACGCAAATTCTTATCATAAGCCAGTGGCCGGGTTGGGTCTAATAATTATGTTCTTACAAGACTCTTCGAGAAGTACGAGTAAATATCATGAGCTAGTTTAACGTTGGTTTTTACGTTGTATCATGCGTGTATTCCATGTCGTTTTCCGACAACTTATGGGGAAAATGTAATAAAACTAGGAACATAATGATACTGAATTTGAAATATATTAAATGTCAGAAGTTGAAATTCCCATCTTTAAATCACATTATAGCTGTTAGTTATGACCTTCAATAATAAAATTACACGTTATATGTTTGTGTTTGAGATTACTTTATGGTATACCAGCGAAATAAACTAGGACAAGTGCAAAAGTTTATATTTACTGTTTTGATAAAGTTCGCCTTTACTTTTATTATTTCATGTTTGAACAATAACTAGCACAATACCTTAAAGGGTTAAAGGCACATTATGCCTCAGAAACCATTGAATTTTCTGGTTTTTTTTAGGAAGGGCAAGCATGTCTAAGAAATAGTTTTAGACATGTTAAATGCTTTTCAAAATATAATGCTGAATATAAATCAATTTGTTATAAAAGTGGACAAAATTTTAATATAAACAAAGTACATGTAGTATTTTTGACTTCCATATAAAATTATCACTGTAATAGTGCGTATAGCCAAAAAGCAACAGAAGAAAAACATGGAGCAGGGAATTGGGCAATAAGTATTTTTTTTGGAAATTTTAATAGTGCACCATAAGTAAAAAGTTTTTGAGAAACAAAACTAATATAAAAAACCCGTAGAGCGCGATTTATTGACGGAAGATTATTTCATTTGAATATGTTTGCACTGCGAAATTCTCCAGTTCGCTATTCATTGTACAAATGTACTATAATAATGTGTATTGTTATAGACGTTGAAATATGAAATTTTTTCAAAACGGCTTATGTTAAGTTTTTTTGATATACATGTGTATATGATCAGTACATGTGCTGGGATTGACAAATATGCATTTTATTTGGATTTTAAAGGCGTTTTGAGCTCCACACCCCAAGTGTCTGTGATCCCAGCTGGTGCTCAAAAGTCCCATCATGCACATGTTTTCAGTATTTATAATCATTCTTAACCTATGTTGACGTGGGAATATTCCTATCTTAATTAACGGCAAAAGGTAAAAATTATAAATAATATTAGATTTGTATAAATGACGGCATATGTCAACAAAATCTATGTCATATACATATTTTTGTAATTTTCAGCTTGGCTTTGCGATCGCTAAATTATTGCCCCTGGATGTGGACAGAAGTGTAGCGCTGGGTATATTCGTGTGTGGCACGTGTCCCGGGGGAGGTATTAGCAATATCTATACGTACCTCCTGGACGGAGATGTTTCACTGTCCATAACAATGACATTTCTGAGCACTGTAGCATCTTTAGGTAGGTAACCAGTGATGACGTTTGAGGACTTATATACCTCGGGCTTTTGTAGCTGGGGTTGAGGACGCTATTTTCATTTACTTATAATTATAAAAAGTGCAAGTTTGAAACCCACAGGGGATATATGGATTTTATTCATTTGAGGAATGTTTTCACCTAGGTTATGGAAGGTCGATGGTTATACCTAAAAGGAAATCCAGGCTCCGTGCTTACAATCAAGATTAAATGATGTTCATTGAAACATGATACTGTCATCTGATTTCGAGTATTTGCAACGAAACAAATTCATTTAGAGATAGTATATAAGAAAAATATATAAATAAAGATTATTACTGGATCAAAAGACTAAAAGTAGCTATTTGAGCTCAACAATAGTGTCGCCACATAATTTTTACCACTCATTGTCCTAACAGAAACATCATAAACGATATTGATGATATTGAAATGGACTAAAATCAGTTTCTTTTTGTTGAATCCGGTTTTTCTTTCTCTATTCCAGGTATGATGCCACTATGGATTTACACACTAGGGCAGCTTTTTGTAGATGACGAGTATAACATCACCATTCCATACATCAACATGCTGCAGATCATAGCATTAATAACAGTGCCTTTGTTCGTTGGCATTTTTATTAAATATAAATTTCTCAAAGCTGCGCTTAAAATCCTGAAAATATTAAAGCCGGTCACGGTTATAGGGATTTTACTTTTCCTGTGCATTGGTTTGTACTCAAATTGGTATATTTTCAAACTGTTCAGACCGCTTCACATTGTTGCTGGATGTCTATTGCCTTATCTAGGTTACATTATAGGGGGCGCTATCGCTGCAATATTGAAACAGCCATTTTCCCGCGTAAAAACTATTGCTCTTGAAACTGGGATGCAAAATGTGGGCGTGGCCTATCTGTTGATGATCTCATCGTTTCCGCCTCCTCATGGTGACTTATCCTCAGTTGCCCCTATGGCATCTGCTTTAATGACACCATTCCCGCCATTTATAGTGACGATTGTTTACTTGATATACAAGAAATGTTTCAAAAAGTATGAACCAGTCATTGATGAAGAGCCAGAGGTCAAGGTCGGTAACGAAGGTCAAGAGGTCAAGGTAAATGGAGAGCAACTGCTACTAGAAAAACTTAGTTCTGTATAGACGGTCACATGTTTACATTTAGAAATACCCCTAGCAACGGAAGTACTATTTTGCACATGCGCAATTTGATTAGAGGATTTTTTTTTTCAATTTATGAAGGAAATGGATTTTATATGCTTTGTAAAAATCTTTGAAAACCTGTAAATATGTTTCTATTCGTGTTATAAATGCGAATCATGTACAATAAACTGCAATTTTCATTTTTTTAAGAAAAACAAACATCAACATGTGTTGTGTATAAAAATATAGGGTGCATTATTGTTACTTGTACAAATATATAATGGTTAGCTATATTGGTCAGAGTTTTGCCATATGACAATAAAACATTCTTTGAACTATTACTGTTATGTTGATAAATTATTTTGATTTAATATCATGCGCTGTCTTAATCGCTTTACGATACAGACTGAGTGCTTACAAAAGTCTAATATTCATTACCAGGTAAGGTGCCATGTCGTGTTTGGAACAATATATAAAGACGTTTTCTCAAATAAAGAGTAGGTACAGTGGGTACTACTTTAAACGGCGGTTTATGGGGGTCTCATAATTTCTTTTTTAAGATTATGGTGGCAGAACCTCATAAACAATTAAACATTATCATGTTTGCTCAGTCAGATAGACGGGTGATTTACTGCGGATTCTTCAGCGAGTCCTCAATTATAATATGTACATAAAAAAATTCAAGCTAAACACTTCGGACCCATTTTAATTTGCTTTTTGGATTGGAAAAGCTTTTTTTATTTACAATTTTGTCAAATAGAGAAGCAATGTTTTGTTGCATCCGCGCAGTCTGATCAGGATCCACGCTGTTCGCTATCAGTTTCTCTACTTGTAATAGTGTTTGTAAGCGAACAGCATGGATCCTGATCAGACTGCGCGGATGCGCAGGCTGGTCTGGATCCATGCTGGTCGCAAACACATTGCGTTGGTTTTGTCGTGACGCGGCTCATACGAGTTTGTTTACATTTTGCTGCTTTTATAACATATTATTTTACATTTAGCACCAACAAACATCTATCATGCCCTAAAGCCATTATCTTATCGTTATAGATCTCATGTTTGACCTTTCTCAAGAAGTAAATATTTACTCACTTTTGAGGCATAATGCGCCTTTAAAGGTTGATATCGTAGCTGGCGTGGTTAACCATTTTGTCAAGATGCCTAAAACTTTCAGAAATGTCTGAAACTATAAAGGTTTATGTTTATGCTCAAAGTTAGGGCGTTACTGTTGATACTATGCTCATTTAAAGTTTTTATATCGTTTAAAGTGTCATCATACCTATCAAAGAGTAATGGTAGGCTCAAAATAACGTAAGATTTTTTCAATACCTAATTGATTTCAGTTTTCAAGTCTCTACCTCATTTGTGTATACTGTAATCTGCCACAGAGAAAATTCTGTACTGTAAATAATCGTAAATATTCGATTGATAAAAAAAGTGGTACAGTCGTTTTATACTTTAGGCAGTTGTTATATTTTATCCTATATTTTATCATAAACATTTTTCATAATCAATAGTAAGTCGATGACCATTATTGTAGTCGATCTTTTTAAATGTAATATATTATAGTCAGTTCAGCTCAACAAAATGAGTACACTTTAATCGGTATGTCGATCAACATATGCGTTTCAGCATTTGTGTATATATATAACAAGTTTCCTGGCTCACTTGTACATCATAAAACAAGTATAATAGTACGGACGTAATAGAATTCCCGTCTCGTAATGCTTCCCCTTTGCTCTGAAATCTATTGTTTATATTCTTTATTAAACACAATGAAACAGAAGTAAAGTATCAAATATACAATTTAAAGTGAATAACAATAATAATATTAATAATAATAATAATAATAATAATAATAATAATAATAATAATAAAAAAATAAAAGATTGTGTGTATAAAGTGTGACATGTTTATTTACTGAAAGAACGTCAATGCGGCACTTAATAAATTTGCTTCCCAATAGCATATTGGTTCCATTTGCCTCCCTTGTTCTGTTTATTATATTACTGTTAACAGCTTGAATATGTAGCCTAGCGGGTATGTTGTAATTTATTTTATGATTTTGTTTGTTACTCATCATATGGACTGTCCACAATCCACTTAATTAATGAAGTAAATTATGATATGAGGTTTTGTTAATGCTGTTTTTGTGGAGTTACTGAAATAAAGTGTTTTTTGCTTCATATTTTGACCAATAGCGAAGGCATTTATCGATTTTACGGATGAAGTTGTGTAGAAACTGTATTGTATTTTGATATGGATCCAGATGTCTGTCTGAAAGTCATGTACAATACACTCCTGACGCACATTTAATATTAGTTTTGTATAGCAAATACATGTAGTTATGTACATGTACAATTTGTTTTTACACTAGTATCTTAAGAATTATGACATTTAAAAGGCTTGTTTTGTCCCAGAAATGCCTTTTTATTTTTTAAAAGCTTTTTCTTTTTTGTGTACTTCTAATACTTTTATAAATGTTTTGCTTCTGTTGGTTTTTAGGCCGTTAGTAAAGTTAAAGTGATTCACTAATAGTATTTTGTATGGAATTCAAAATACTACTTTTAATATTTTAATACTATCACGATAATTTTTTTCACATCAAGCGCTATTTTCTTTTGGTCTTAATCGTTTTATTTAATATCTTATGCCTTTTCTTGGGAGGTAGAAATTGTATAATATCTAAGGGCCTATGTGCCTTTAAGTCATTCGATCCTTGCTACCCAACCCACCATTTGAATTTTTGTTCGGACGTTTCTGTACATCGGTAAATTATAATGAGTAGGTTGAAGTGATTATTTGTCATGTAGTGATCCTTCGGATAAAAGAAATAATTAAAAATGGCTTACCGTATTCTTAAGGAATTATTTGAAATATGTCAAAAACGCGGACACAGTATTAACACGGGGGAGGAAGTGTTACACGAAGGATGGAGTTCTTATGATAACTTGTTCAGGAGTTCTTGTGATAACTGTCACGGAGTTCGTCGGAAAATATCTGTATATACTACAAAACACTCGTTAAAATTGGTTATTTTCATCGTTCTAAAAAGAGTTTTAGGTGCTTAATTAAACTTTAATGATTAAGCTTGTCTTACATCTTGTTTTATGTGTCAAAGCCTAATTTACAGGCCATTTTTCATCGCCTCTTGCTTCAAATCTGGTAGTTTTGAGTAAAATTTCCAAATTACTTGCCAATTCACAAGTTTTGACCGGTTTATTTCTGGTCTTCATCCTTGCCATACATAATTACCTAATTATAATGCAAAATTGCAAACATAAAGCACCGGCTAACAGATTTATACCCAAATTTTCAAATGTCCCGGAGTTCTTGTGATAACTCTGAAGATGTCACAGAGTTCTTATGATAACTTTTGTTATTACCAGTGTGTTTCTTGCGCTAAATCACGGCACGTTTTGGCGTTTATTATCATTCAATAAGATGTTAAATCATTATGAAATGCAGTACGCTCATTCTTTGCACAAACATGTGGATAAAACGTTGATCTTAAGTGTTTGCAAAGGATAAATAGGTGATAGGCTATCATCTACAGTAAAAATTAAGCCAGCGGCCACTGATATTCAGCAGTATAATGGCTTAAACCACAAAACAAAAATGTCTCAAAACATACACGTTGTTCTAAGTTTTACATGTTTCAAGAAAGCAGACAATATATAGGCATGATTCCCTTACCTATAAGGGCTAAGTAATTTGTATCATTTTATACCATAATAAATTAGTATATACCAAGATAATTTCCACACCTATGTCTGAAAAAAGTACAAACATGATAAAAACTCAACTGCAGTTGGCTCTAACGAACAAATTTGAACTGTCCCTCCAGGTTCGAGCGAACCAAGTTTGACTTCATGTTTTTGTTATCAATTACAGCAAAAGTAGCAGAGTTTCCTCCACTAAGATTACATAGGGGAAATACTCATCAAACATCGACAGAAAAATATACATGAAAATACCATATTTGAGTATTTCAAAGCGCATTTTATCACGTACATAAATGTCCTACTGGTTTCATAGCAGTTCCCCGTCCCAAATCGCACTTTTTAACAAATAAAATAAAAATATGTCTACCGAAGAGTGCAAACTTTGACAGAACAAAGTTAGGTACCTTGTCAAGCATTACCATGTTTTAATGTTGCTCTTTTATTTTACATTTTAATAGAATAAAGGCCTGAGATGTACACCTTTGCTCACATTTATTCAAAATTTCATAGCAGTTTTTGGACCTTTTTTATTTTGAATATATAGCAATGTCCCAAACTTTTCCGTGTCGTCTGCAAATTTATTGTTTAAAAGTAGTGATTTACCTAGAATGGGATTTCAGTTATTGTCCATGGGCATTCAAAGTAGAATTCCCGAGGTCTTGTTATTCGTAAGTGTCGCAAGTTCTCTAATGTAACTTAAAACAACAGACAAACACTTTGAAACATATTAATCGCTGTACTATTATAACTGCTGTATTTCATAAAAAAAACAAATATTCTCTACTTGATGCAGTTACATAGATACTTAACTGAGAAAAAATAGTCTGTATGCCTTGATGAAAATGATAAAGGGCCAGAATACTGCTAGGAGCCGGAAACTGCTAGGAAACCAGTAAATAACTACGAAATCTGCGTTAAACAAAAAAAAATACTATGAAAAAGAAACGGGGGTAAGAAATAATATCTCTTGAACTAAAATTCACTCAAAACCAACATTATATATCCTATTTTTTGCGCAAAGGATGAGCGTACTACATTTAATAATGATTTACAATCTCATTGAATAATAAAAAAAACGCTTAAACGTGCCGTGATTTAGCGCAAGAAACACACTGGCAATAAAAAAGTTATCATAAGAACTCTGTGACATCTTCAGAGTTATCACAAGAACTCCGGGACATTTGAAAATTTGGGTATAAATCTGTTAGCCGGTGCTTTATGTTTGCAATTTTGCATTATAATTAGGTAATTATGTATGGCAAGGATGAAAACCAGAAATAAACCGGTCAAAACTTGTGAATTGGCAAAATAATTTGGAAATTTTACTGAAACTACCAGATTTATAGCAAGAGGCGATTAAAAATGGCCTGTGAATTAGTTTTTGACACATAATACAAGATGTAAGACAAGCTTAATCATTAAAGTTTAATTAAGCACCTAAAACTCATTTTTGAAAGATGAAAATAACCAATTTTAACGAGTGTTTTGTAGTATATACATATGTTTTCCGACGAACTCCGTGACCGTTATCACAAGAACTCCTGAACAAGTTATCATAAGAACTCCATCCTTCGTGTAACACTTCCTCCCCCGTGATTAAGAACATTTGCAGTGAGCGCGGACTTCTTACCTAGCATTGGTGTTGGGCATTTCTTGCTATACCCTTATTTTCCTTTCCGTTTAGAAATGAATCCAAGACAGCTTAGAAGTTTCATCTTTTTCTTCTTATCACTTTTTTTATTATCTTCTTTTGAGGTGGTTTTCTTTTTTTTCTCACTTTCTTCAGTCATCCTTTCAAGTTGTTGTCTTCTTGGTCATAAACAGGCTTAATCAAACTGAGCCTGCAACATTTTCAATTTTGTCGTTTTGGACGTTCTTAATGGATTCTGTTTTTCTCTATTTTCTTTTCCGGCTTAAGCATAATTCAACATTTAAACACAAAAATGAATTTTTGAACAAACGCAACGTATATAGATGTAAAACACATGCAAACGCCAAAGATATCGGTAAATAAATAAATAAATGTTCTTTAACAAAAATGTATTGCCCTTAATATCCAGTTGTTGAAAACCTAATTCAATTATGGATGCATTTGACAATTGAAAGCGGAATTCAAACAAAAGCATGAAACATCAAAGTTGTCGGCCTTAACAAAATTTCACTGTTATATCATTCTAGACAAATATTGGCAGGTCTAAATTGTACGATTTTAATACATTTAAGCCCGTTTCCCATTTTTGTCTCCCGTAAAAAGGTAAACTTCACAGTAAATTTTTGTGACATATTTGAATGTATTTGGCACTCCTGTTTGAACAATTTGTACGTATTTTTTATACGTGCGACGTATGTGTGTTTGTGTGTATGCGCGCGCGCGTGTGTGTCTCTGTGTGGAATTTGCGTTTATCTGAAAGAATAGCTCTTATGCACATTTTATCGTGCATAACATCTGCAGAAGCCCTCCGACTGCGTCCTCGTGCTCTTCAGTTGTTAATTCACGAAGAAGGTGCTTCAGTAAAAACAAAGGATTACGTGTGAGGTTAAAACAGTTTATCCACTAAACCCATGGGAAATTTCATTAACACAATTACGGCCGGGTTAATAACCTCTATGGATTAAATGTATTCACTCACATGTTATCTTGACAGGTATTGGCGTATTTCTCAGGGCAGTCGCAACTTCTCGGCTCCTTTCGTCAAACTTCAGATATGTATGAATAATCGTGGAGGTTTCCCGAATTCGAGTCAGTGTATTTACATTGTAGAAAATAAAGCATGATTTGTGACGTGACAGACAGACGGGTGGACGGCTGCTATGGCTGGATTGTCGTGATGTCGGGGTTTTGTCTAATCGTATTAACGGATGGTATATTGTTTACTTTTGGCAACTTGCTGATTGAGCTCACAGAGTACTTTGATGCTGATCGTGCCAGGATAGCTCTCGTTGGAGCATTAATGCTTGGCTTTTCTTGCCTCACTGGTAAGTTTTTTCTTTCTTAACGTTTACAGGGCATGAATTGTGCATGCTTTTTTTATATTCTTTATTTTTCTAAGACTTAGAAATATCTTTGTATATTTTCATAGAAACTGTGGGCTTACGAGTGGACATTAAATGACTTAAAGGATAAAATAGCACGAGTTTCGCGTTTTTTTTAAACGCATGTCTCAGGGTGCCATGTCAAAGAAAGCTGACTGCAATGACGCCCCAGTAGTTTTATTTTATAGAATTATAACACTCAAAATAGCATTATACGAGCATAATTTATTGCACACCCGATTTCTTTATACGAAAAAAAAAGCAAGATAGATATATATAGATATTCCTTATCTCCTCCTTAAAGAAGAGCATGTCAAATATTAATGTTACAAATATTACATTTACATATATATAACAGTTATATGATATTGACATTGTTACAAACATAATCATACATTCTGTAATCTTAGTAGGTTTAAGAAACGGATATTTGCAACCATTACAAACATATGATGCAGACGATATTTTTATTCATCACACACATGAATTTTATGCAAAAACAACAACAAATAACGAAACGTAAAACGTATACTTTTTACTGCAAGAATATCGTTGTTACATTGTATTACACATTGTTTCGTACATCAACATCTTTGGACACCATCGTACTTTAATATAACCCTCGCCCTGTAATTCTGCAGATTGTAATGCTCGAAACCACTAAATGTTAGCGATATCTTAACAACTATTCTCCATTCAAGTGCGTAAAAGTTTGATAATGTTAACCACCAAAATTCCTAAATTGTCAATAGAGTGAAGGTCAGGAGTACGTACTATTGTGTACACATGTATTAATTTGTTGCAGATTTATTATGATTATGCTATTTTCTATAAACTCAACCAAAGTCGAGTGAGTAAACATCTCTCGACTTTTTTTTCTTCCGTAAAACACACCATGTTTTGGTTAAAATAATAATTATTCAACAAATTTCCTCTTTAATCAGGACCAATAAGTGGAGGTCTTTGTGACAGGTTTGGTTGTCGGATGGTTGCAGTGACTGGTGCTGTGTTATCGTCCGTCAGTTTGTTGATTAGTTCGTTCGCCACAAACGTTACATATCTGTACCTTACCTACGGTGTTCTTGGTGGTAAGTCAGCTTTGCATAATGACAAGCAGTGGTTTTTCTCACTTAATTGGGAAAAGTCCATAACCTCTTAATTTGGGGAAAAAATCGCTAAAATTTCTTGGTGGTTAGTCAGCAGCAGTGGTTTTAAAAGTCCTAAGCCTCTAAGCTAAAATTGCTAATTTGGGAAGTAAATAAGCTGAGGTAAGTTTAGAACTTTGAGAAAACTGCATGCTTTTAAGGAACGTTTCCATTGGGAAGAAGCCATATTAAGGTCTTTGTATTATAAGGAGGAAAATTACTAGACAAGGACATATAACAATATATCAGAATTTGGTATCTTATATCCGTGGTAAGTTGTAAAAGATGGCCTAGCAAATAATTTCATCTCACCCGAGAGATTTTTGGTATAAGCCCTTCTTGTTGTTTCATTTTCGATGAATTTACTGTTATTTTCGGGACAGTGCATGATACAGCACTTGCTTTGTCCCTGAGTCGACCTTTGTTCTGGGACTCATTTGAGAGACATCTAATTTTGTTAGTGAATGAGCGTGGAATCGAACCTGCGACTGCGACCCTGGTTGAAAAGTCAAGAGCGTTACCAGTGAACTACGGATTCTTATGTCATGGTCATGTTCACTAAAACTCTAGCACTGGTGTGTTCGAGCGCAAATAAATTAGCTACAGGCGGTCTTCAATATCAAGTCCTTAATGAAGAAATAAACATTTTCTCAAAGAAATCATGTAACGGTGTTAACTATTATCATTTTAATTCAAGGTACGGGCGTAGGATTCATGTACTTATCAGCAAATGTGATAGCGGTGCAATATTTCGACAAACATAGAGGTCTTGCATGTGGAATAACATTGTGTGGTTCCGGTAAGTCCTTACAACGAAATCAGTAATATTTAGTAATTGTCAGTTTTCAACACATTTAAAGATTGTTCATGTCTGACAGCTAAACGATGTCAAACGTTTTATTATTCAAGAGTAGCAGAGGATAAAGCACACGATCTCATGATTTGTGTATCTGCGCCAGACTCGACGTGTTGTTATATTTTTCTGGTCCTTCGGGATCAGTTATTCCAGCAAGTTTGAAAATTGAGTACCACTCAAGCCGGTACTGGGGGATGCCGTTACGGATGTTTTACTATTTAATAATTTCTCATATGTAGACTCAATCAAACCGAGTCTGCAATTTTGATGTAATTTTGCCGATTTTGAAGCTTCCAATGGATCTCTTTTTTCAGATATTTATTCTTTTCTTTCTAGTGTGCTATTAACAATGAATACATTGTTTTAACTTGCAGGCATTGGGATGTTTATTTTTAACCTAATAACACGTTTTTGGATAAATGAATACGGATGGCGGGGTACAGTATTTACTAGAAGCAGGAATGTGCATACAGGGGTCTGTGTTTGGTCTATTACTTTTACCTCCCGTTAAAAGCAATGTAACCAATGCAAAACCAGTAAAAGACGAGCAATTGCAGATTATGATTGAAACCGAAAATCGTAAGACTAATAATTCATGCGACAAAAATGATATCATATTAGAAACCGATTTAGCTGAAGTTGATGAGGATTTAACCGAAAGGGATTATTTTGAAATTGAGAAAAATACAGAGAAAGAACCGAAAGCAGAGAAATGTAGCAAAAGTCCAAAATGTAAATGGCTGTTGAGTCCAATTCGGAATATGTTTGATATTTCATTGTTGACCGATGTAAAATTCGTGATATTTCTTCTGTCGTTGATTGCATGTCATCTAGCGTATTCATTAGTGTTAAACATGACTGTAGATCGTGCACTTGAGTTGGGAATGACAAAAAATGAGTCAGCGTGGTTAGCTTCTTCTATTGGTAAGTTGGTTTTTATTTTATTGTTGTGTGCGCTCCATACCTTTTACAGGACTGATTTTGAGAATTTGGCTCCCTATAAGATGCTAGAGGCATTTTGTAGTACAGGTGGTATCTTGGTGTATTTAACCTATTTAAGGTATGCTGAATCCGGTAAAAGTGGATACCAAATTGAAAAACTTGATCTTGACCATTGAAATGGCCATTTGAAATGACCACTAAAATGGGCACCAAATTTCTTTAACATCAAATGGACGATATATCAAATAAAACTTTTAAGGAAAGGAAAAGCCTGAAATTTGTCACAAAGCATGTTAGGTAAAAACAAATTAGACACCAAAACAGAATTAAAAAAAACAAAACAATCCAATATGGCCGAATAATCCAAGATGGTGGACATTTTTCTATAGGCCAGTATAATACTAATATAGAAATAATATTAGAGATAGTACTGAAAATTTTAAGGCATTTAAACATAAGAGAACTGTATTTAGGGTTTACGCAGCGAACACTTCACTCTTACCTGCCCTATCTGCTTGATATAGGGTTTTCATGTATTTTATCTTATATGCAAGCATATAACGTGACTACTCAGATTCCTACTGCGTATGTGTGAGGAGGTTAAACATGTGCATGCAAAATATACATTAATTAAAGGCACCTTTCTCTGAGTACTCTTGGGTTTTGATGCTCGTTTTTTGTTATTGGTCGTCGTCTTCGTTCTTCTGTTATCGGTCCTGGTCTCAGTTCTTTTGTTGTCAGATGTTCTGTTATCGGTTCACGTCTCTGTTTTTGGTCGTCGTCTTTATTCTTCGGTTATCGGTTCTCGTCACCGTTCTTCTGTTATCGGTTCTCATCTTCGTTCTTCTCCGTTCATCTATCATCGGTTCCCAACTCTATTCTTCTGTAATCAGTCATGGTTTCCGTTTTCTTGTTGTCAATTATTCTGTTATTGGTCCTCGTCTCTATTTTTCTGTTATCAATCCTGTCTCCGTTGTCTTGTTGTCAGTTTTTCTATTAACGGTCCCTGTCTCTGTTCTTCTGTTATCGGTCCTCGTATCTGTTCGCTTGTTGTCAGTTCTGCTGTTATCGGTCCCTATCTCTGTTCTTCTGTTTTTGGTCCTTGTCTCTGTTCGCTTGTTGTCAGTTTTTGTGTTCACGGTCCATGTATCTCTTCTTCTGTTTTCAGTCCTCGTCTCTGTCCTTCAGGTTCTCTTCTCCGTTCGCTTGTTGTAAGTTTTTCTGTTATCGGTCCCTGTCTCTGTTTTTCTGTTATTGGTCGACGTCTCTGTTCGCTTGTTGTCAGTTCTTGTGTTCACGGTCCCTGTCTCTCTTCTTCTGTTTTTGGTCCTTGTCTCTGTTCGCTTGTTGTCACTTCTTGTGTTGTTCGCTTGTTGTCAGTTCTTGTGTTCACGGTCCCTGTCTCTCTTCTTCTGTTTTTTGTCCTTGTATCTGTTCGCTTGTTATCAGTTCTTGTCTCTGTTCGCTTGTTGTCAGTTCTTGTGTTCACGGTCCCTGTCTCTCTTCTGTTTTTGGCCCTTGTCTCTGTTCGCTTGTTGTCGTTCTTGTGTTGTTCGCTTGTTGTTAGTTCTTGTGTTCACGGTCCCTATTTCTCTTCTTCTGTTTTTTGTCCTTGTCTCTGTTCGCTTGTTGTCAGTTCTTGTGTTGTTCGCTTGTTGTCAGTTCTTGTGTTCACGGTCCCTGTCTCTCTTCTTCTGTTTTTGGTCCTTGTCTCTGTTCGCTTGTTGTCAGTTCTTGTGTTGTTCGCTTGTTGTTCTTGTGTTCACGGTCCCTGTCTCTCTTCTTCTGTTTTTGGTCCTTGTCTCTGTTCGCTTGTTGTCAGTTCTTGTGTTGTTCGCTTGTTGTCAGGTCTTGTGTTCACGGTCCCTGTCTCTCTTCTTCTGTTTTTGGTCCTTGTCTCTGTTCGCTTGTTGTCAGTTCTTGTTTGTGTTGTTCGCTTGTTGTCAGTTCTTGTGTTCACGGTCCCTATCTCTCTTCTTCTGTTTTTGGTCCTTGTTTCTGTTCGCTCTGTTTTTGGTCCTTGTTTCTGTTCGCTTGTTGTCAGTTCTTGTGTTCACGGTCCCTGTCTCTCTTCTTCTGTTTTTGGTCCTTGTCTCTGTTCGCTTGTTGTCAGTTCTTGTGTTCACGGTCCCTGTCTCTCTTCTTATGTTTTCAGTCCTCGTCTCTGTTCTTCTGTTATTGGTCCTCGTCTCTGTTCGCTTGTTGTCAGTTCTTGTCTGCGTTCTTCCTTCTGTTATCGGTCGTCTTCTTCGGTATTGTACTTTCGGTACTTGTTTCCTGTTCCGTTAAGGTCTTCTCTTGTATACTATGGTTGCCGTCATTCTGTGTCGATGTCCTGGTTTTGTCAGTCTTGTAGTCATTTATTCGTTCAGTGGAGTAGCGGGGGATCGAACTCACGACCCCTTGATTTGTAGGCAGACAGTGTTACCACTGCACCATAGCGCCCGCTCTGAATAATAACCATTTTTGAAAGTCCTTTATACATTAAATACTATTTCAATGGCTAACAAAGGGTGTATTACAATTATATTTTAACACCTCTACTATGTAGCCATCCCACGTGACTTTTATATATGGTCAAAGTAAATATTACTCGATTTATTACAAGTAATATTTTTATAGATAACTTTGCTGTTACTTTAAGATATCCTGGATTTATTGGAGGGTACCCAGAATTCTAATGTATATCAAATGATGTGATAATCTTCTTGTAGAATTTTCTCAAAACCGTGACTGAATTCCAAAATTTTCGAGAGCTGCCATGGTAAAGCAAGCACACATAGCAATCTCCCGGTTTCAGACAATTTATGACTCGATGAAAATAAGGTGTTGTTATTGTTGTTGTTGTTTTTGACTTTCACTTTAAATTTCAAATTAAATAGTCACTTATTTTTAAACAAGATGGTAAACATTTGGTGTTTTCTGTAATTTTTGTTAAGAATGTGATGAAGTATACACTTCTTAGTTTAAGATGACTTTTTATCCATCGTATACCTTAATGCAGTTATAATTGAATCTAAAAAATGAATTATGCAGACATTATTTTCAGCAGAAAACAACAAATGCAAACAATACCACACACAAAAAACTTACATGCAGCATACATGTGTAATGTTCACTATGTGCTGAAAAACGGCTCTTTATTATTTCAATATTTCAGCAAGTTACACATTTTATAAATGAATGGGACAGAAATGTTGTTGTAACCATTTAAAAAGTAGGATTTGTAAAAATTTGTAAGTTGGCTATATTTTTACCTAGTTTGCTCAACACTCAATTAACACATTTTTATATATAAACCTGAGGTAGAAAACAACTTTCATAGATTGAGATAGAGCCATAATGTCGTAGATATTTGGGTTACAACAGGAGTTTTTGATCCTGATAATGTTTTAAGTAGGATAAACATAAATTATTCTTAAAATTTTGTACTGCCTTAATTCATTTTTTAAGTGATCACATTATGGGGAAGGTGTCTGCATAAAGTGCTGCTACGTGCACTCTTATTTGTCGCATTCAAAATCACATTGATTTGTCACTGTCTACTTCCTGGCAAATCCTTGTTTCACAAAAAGGAAGATAGATATGTACTATAACATATAATTGTTACATCTTCCGCCTGCGTTATTATTTGTTCACTTAGTATTAGCTGTTACATTTTACTCCCAGGTATTGCAAGCACTATAGGCCGGGCTGTACTCGGATGGTTCGGAGATAGGCAATATGTGAATAAGATTATGCTAGTTTCTGTTCTACTACTTTTGTTGGGATTGTCTACAATGCTGTCCTGCTTCTTGAAAACCTTTTCAACTTTAGTGATCTACTCATCTATCTACGGTTTCTTCGCAGGCATGTATCATTCAGTCTTGCTTTACATTTTTGTCTCGTGAGCTAAAATTTTACAGATAGAGTTGCTTTCCAAATGAAACGGAACGTGTAACCTAGAGAGCCCATATAAAGAATAAAGAAAGTATTTATCAATTTTTCGACATTATTTTATCATGAAAAATTACTTATATTGATATGTCCTGAAAGTCATTTTTTATTGAACTTCATACGTTATTTTTAACATAAAACTTCATAAAATAAATAAAAAGATAAGTATCTAAGGAAAGATATCAAATGTGTTATCAAATGTTATTGTCACGTGACTGATTACATTTCATTTTAGGCGGATATATTGCGTTATGTCCAACAGTATTGGCAGAACTGTTCTCAGCAGAACTGATTGCAAGATCATTCGGTTTATATTTTCTCTTTATTGGAATATCTTCTACAGCAGCGACACCTATTGGAGGTAAAAGTAAAACACGTGGTTTGTGACGAACGTGGTCAGTCATTGCGTCATTAGGTCATCAACGTTTATGTATTTTGTGTGAAAAAGTTTAGTATGTCCATTTAGTTTGCGCGATAGGTCGATAATTCTACTCAGGTCTGTTGCTAGAACAGCAAGAAAGTTCGAGGTACCTTCAATTCTTGTGCAATACACATTTTTATCCCCCATACACTAAGCAATATTTATAGATCTAGTTTTGGTATAAATGTGCATAAAATTCAGAAAATAACGCCATAAATATAAGTTATTTCAATACGAAATTTATTGAACAGTTTAATAAGTTCATATTATGCTCGCCAGAGGCTGCGCATTATATAATCTATTCAACATGTTCAATAAATTCAGTAATAAACCTACACGGATAATATTCTTTTTATCAAATTTCCAAAATACTAAGTACATGTACCCAAAATAAGAATTGTTTACAGTAGAAACAATTACAATTTATTTGACGCACCCATAGTGTAACGTTTACGCTCTTTAACGCTATGTTTGTATAACGTGATAATTTATGCACAGCCGTGCCATACCATTTTTACGGAGTCGAAATAGCGGCACGGGTATGTGATAGTGTGCATTTTGTTATCCATGAAAGGGCCAAAACTAAATGATAATATTTATTGCAAAATTTTATACTAAGACGTACGGTTTCGTGACGGAATGTTTTCTTTTTTTCAGGATTTCTGTACGACACAACCGGGAGTTATGACGTCACGTTTGTTGTTGCAGGAGCTGAGCTTTTTACGGCAGGAATTTTGATAATAGTTCTCAGATGTGTTCATGTACATTACGTTTAAAGGATCTCCACTGAGATTTTCTTACATAGATCATCTGCGGTATTTAAAATAAAGATATGCAAAAGATAATTATAAGAAATATACACTGAAATGATTGAAATTTTAATGTTTGTGCTATCTTAGCCCGGTTTGAGTGAAAGGCGTTGCAATGCTGTTTAATGTTGGGTCATTTTTTCACATTTTATTCTTGGAAAAAGAAATGAGCGAATGATTTGAAATTTTTTCGCACAAGTTATTATTCTCGATCTACATCAAATGAAACTGAAATCTCTTGAAATTATTTCATATTTTATGACAAAAAACAAAACAAAACAAACAAACAAACAAATAACACCAAAAAAAAAAACAACAACAAAAACCAGTCAAGGCCCTTTAATATTAAAGTATAATTAGAAATTTGTTAGTAAAATATCTCGTTTAAGATCTCTTGGTCTCCTAAGCCCGTGTGCTGCATGTATTCATGCATGCAGAGTAAGGCTGTCCGCCCGCTTAACTCATAGACGCCCGCTTAACACATTGGTCAAATAAAGAGATTATCGGATTAGTAATCCAGTACTCAAACAAAATTCAGATATCATGTGGAAAAAGTAGTCGTTCTCATTTGGAAATGATACACTATTTATTGTGAAAAATTACAAACAGCAGTACATAGTATGCATTATTCATACACAAACAGGCTTTTGTGCAAAATATAAGCACGTGCAATTTTTTCCGTCAACTATTTTCCAATGGTTCCATGGAATTATTCCACCAGCTGGATCTCGACAATTCGGACCTGAAATCAAAGATAGGCCTCTCCTTACAGAAGATATAGTTCAAAACTTAACCATGCTGATTTTCGTGTAATGGGCTTGACCGGCATTAAGCTTGGAACAATCCATTCCTTTTTTTCAGTGATATCAAACTACAAAAAACAGCGCTACCAATAGTGTAGAACCAAGTCAGATTTGCAGATGGCCTAAGTCTATAACAGTGGCAAAGGTCAATCTATGGTGGCTGCTTTGAGCCATGTCGTTTATGGTTTAAACTTAACGGTGTACCATTCACACCCGTAGTGCCAGCGTGTCCGAGTGTTTAAATTTCGGACTTGTAATCTAAGGGTTGCTGTCTGCATGGGTTCAAACCCCGTCAGGAGCAAGACTTTGTTTCCTTGAGCAAGAAACTTTACACTCATTGCTTAGTATTTGTTAGTCCCAGAAACTGATTCGAAAGTGTTCCAATCCAACACAATCGAACTAAAATAAATTTTGTATAAAACTTTCTCACCCAAACATTAGCAAGATTTATTTATAACATGCGCAAAATACACTATATTACCTATTTATCTTCTATATTTCTATATGCAATCGTATACTCCATTTATTTAAATGTTAAATGTAGCCAATAGAAGTAATCATATTGATAAAAACACAGCACATTACCGTTGGGACAATATTCACAGCAATCCGTCGGCTGATATTTCGCCGGGTCCACACAGGTTGGAGGCGGACACGGGGGAGGATAACATAAGGTCTGGTTGCCAACTGTACATGGATACGGGCAGTAGTGCACCGTTACATTCTTCATACTTGCAGTCGGTAAATGGTTTTCGTCATCAGCATTTATTCCGATGATTAATAAAAGATTTATAAAAAGAATGCACACTAAAGTGTAAGTAAAATAAAACTCCATTGTTTATATTGTCTTTTTGTTAGTTTAATATGAAGGACAAGTAATATAGGTCAAGAAGATAAGAATCTTAATACTGTAAGTTTTCAAATTTGCAAAGCACTAAACTTTTTATGTTTCAATTTTAACCAAAACAAGTATAAAATATTATTTTAAGGTGTTTAGCTCAACTGTGGATCGATCGAGGCATTTGTCCTCGAAAATCGGTCATTTATCTTCGGTCATCAGTCATTTATCCTCGCTCATTGGTAATTTATCCTCGATTATCCTCATTTTTCCACCATTTCGATTATTGGCCATTTATCCCCGATCATTTGTCATTTATCCTCGATTATAATAATTTATCCTCGATATTTCGTCATTTATCCTCTATTATCGAGTCATTTATCCACGATCAACGGTCATTTATCCTCGATCATCGAGTGATTTATCATTTTATCTTTAATCATCCAGTCATTTATAATTTTAACCTCAATCAGCAAGTCATTTACTATTTTATCCTCAATCATCCAGTCATTTATCATTTTATCTTCAATCATCAAGTCATTTATCATTTTATCCTCAATCATCCAGTCATTTATCATTTTATCCTCAATCATCCAGTCATTTATCATTTTATCCTCAATCATCTAGTCATTTATCATTTTATCCTCAATCATCAAGTCATTTATCATTTTATCCTCAATCATCCAGTCATTTATCATTTTATCCTCAATCAACCAGTCATTTATCATTTTATCCTTCATTATTTATCATTTTATCCTCAATCATCAAGTCATTTATCATTTTATCCTCAATCATCCAATCATTTATCATTTTATCCTCAATCATCCAGTCATTTATCATATTATCCTAAATCATCAAGTCATTTACTATTTAATCATCAATCATCCAGTCATTAATCATTTAATCCATTTATCCTCAGTCACCCAGTCATTTATCATTTTATCCCCAATCATTCAGTCATTTATCATTTTATCCTCAATCCTCAAGTCATTTACCATTTAATCATCAATCATCTAGTCATTTATCATTTAATCCATTTGTCCTCCAGTCACCCAGTCATTTAATCCTCAATCATTCAGTCATTTACCATTTAATCCTCAATCATCAAGTCATTTACCATTTAATCCATTTATCATTTTATCCTCAATCACCCAGTCATTTATCATTTTATCCTCAATCATCAAGTCATTTACCATTTAATCCTTGATCATCTAGTCATTTATCATTTTATCCTCAGTCATCAAGTCATGTTTCACACCGAGCAAATGTTTTCCATTGAGGTAGCAGCAATATTTGATAAGCTTCGTAACGGGTATAGTTTCTTTATTTCCTGTCAAGATACGAGTTTCTTAACCATTATCTCGTATAAAGGTTTGAAGTAAAAGACAGCCTGATTTACTAGGGGAAACGAACAAATTTGTTGAAAATATCTCGCGAAATGTTGTCAGTGTTGTTGTAACTCAACGTCAGCAAAGAAGAAAGAAATGAGAGGGTGGGGGATAAAATTTCAATAAAGCCGCATTTACACATCGACAATTTCAAATGCTTATAGAATGCAAAGAAAATGTAGTGTGTACAAGTGTGTTAGTTATATAAACATATACATGAACGAGTAAAACGACTATTTAGTTGGTTCTGTTGTGCTTTGGATTTGGTAAAAATAAAGCTGAGATTGCCATCTAAGACGTCTGAATAATAATGGCAAGCGTGTCGTTCCATAAAAAATCCTGCTTCCGGTCAATATTTAATGCAGTCCATATTTATAAAATAATATATATCGGACACGTTCTTTTTTCGGCCGTGGATACAGTCTTAAGTATTCTGTGTTTGATACATATGTATATTTAAATTCTGCTTTTTCTATATGATAAATAGGTATAATGTCTATTTTATTAAAATATGCACGATTTTCAGTGAATTCCATTGTCTACATAAATGTTATTGTACATAAAGTGTACATGTTCCTTTAATATCATGGATCTGATCACAGTTGAATGTCATAAATAAAGGACATGTTCCTCTTGTGTCGGGTGTGATCTGTATCGATGTTTGCAACTTCTCATCCGCCATTACATTCCTGAAAATAAATCAAATATATGAAAAATTATCTCTACGGCACAGTTTTCATTAATGTGTAAATATGTATATGCACTTGCAATACTTCCAAGTATAGTAATGTTTGTATAGTTATGGTACATGACAGACATGTATATATACCGCGAGCATTTGTTTTCTTTAAAAGCCATGATTGTGTTTTGTACAGTTTTGTAGTTTGTTTACACTGGAGACAAAATGGTGGACATTGCCAACACATATTAAAGTTGGTTTGTGAAACAAGTTCGTTCAACTTATATTTGTATTTATCACTATTGATTCTGCTTCCTGGAATTTACCAGTACTGATTTCATATGAAGAAACATGGTCGTGACCCATAAAAAATCTCAAACCGATGATATCTGGTTGAGAAGCAGACACTTTACCCGTTAGGTACCGCTCATCATATAGTTACATGACAAAATCAACATTTTGAATAATAATTGCTTATTAAAATAAGTACAACTAATCAACAGGTATAGATTTTTGAAAATAAAAGTTTCGGGAAAATAAATAAATTTGTCAAATTGAATTCTAAAAATAGTCTGTATGGTGACGTCACGAATATTTTTTTCTAAAATTCAAACTATATGCTTACCTAGTAGAAAACACTTTCATGTGGCTCATTCCGGGGCACTCGGCAAGAATGACACAATTTGTGAGGGATCTTGTCTTAAACGGGTTGTCAAAGCTAATCATCACTTCTACTGGCACCCCTGTCCTCAAAAACCGGTCTCGAATCTAAACATTTAAAACAAAATATTTTTAGATTATAAAAAAATAAGTATTTCTCACCAAGATTTTAGAGTTGAAAATAAAAAAATAAAGCAAAATCATATTTGAATGAATGTACAACTTGCCTGTCTGAAACTATAAGTTATGATCATTCGGCATGCATTATTTGAATTCTGTTTTCAGTTAGAATTTAATCTTTTGGACGCATGCAACTTTAAAGCCGTATTATAAAATATATAATATCATAAAATTAAAAAAAGGATTACTGAAGTTTTTTGGCATGACGGGACTTGAAATATTTTCTAAGATTTGAAAAACATTTAGTGTTGGTCTTAACCAATAACTTGTTCAGTTCATTTCCTCACTCTTTTTTTCCCAGTATATATTTACTTGAATTGTGCAAAATGATCCAAAAATGAAAAGCGTTGCAACGTTTCTTAAACAAAAAACTGGCATAGAAACGCACAAAAATACCCAAAAAATCGATTTTCAAAAAAAATCTTTGATATTTCTTCATCATTTCAGATTTATCCATTTTAAGTGCCTTATTTGATCTATGTAAAAGTTTTCAAATTTATAGTTTAAGGCTTTTTTGACCTCAGTGGAGTTCCTTTAAAGAAAACCCTACCTGGACTGTCAAGTCGGGCAGTCGGAGCCTGAAGCTTTCCAGGGCTGCAAACTGTTGCCCGGACTCCTTCACTTTACTAAGCATTGCACATCTAAACATTGCTCCCTCCGACACGGCGTCAACATACTCGTCCACGCTGACATGCATCGTTACACTCTGTTCTGTTTGCAAAAAAATAGTTGTATATTATTATTATTATTATTATTATTATCATTATTATTATCATTATCATCATCATCATCATCATCATTATTGTTATTATTATTATTATTATTATTATTATTATTATTATTATTATTATTATTATTATTATTATTATTATATAACCGCAACTTTTCGGCCCTTTCTGTTGAAAATGATAATAGCCGACGATATTCCACTCGGTTATTTCCTGCTTTAGAATATAGACTGGCTCATTGGCACGTTATTTTATTGGTAAAAAATAAATATAATAAAAAAAAGATAGAAATAAAGAGAATGTTATATTTAAACATGGAAGTATCACTTTTGTTAAACGTTTATTTAATTCCATGACGCTATTTTCATCCGAAAATCTGAAAACTGTGTAATTTTGTGAGAACAAAAAAATTAAACAAAAACAAGACTAAAATTTTCCCCATTGCTGACTGAACGAATGCATATCTACTAGACGCCGCGTGCACGCGGCGTCTGATAATATCCCGTGTAAACTAGGTTTATATGTCTGAGAATTTCCGCGCCAAAGGTTAGCTTTTTGTTAACGCATTTTGCAAGTTAATAAATAACATTATTTTGTGGACAGTTAAAGAGATTTGAATTTGAACAAACTTGGCCAATGGAAATAATATTTAAGTTAATAACAAGCCTAAGCTGTCTATAAAAAGGACATGCGAAAATGAAATGAAATTCATTTTCTATACTATTCGAATTGCATTTAATGCCTTTTCTTCCAATAACATTACTGTACTAATATAATTATAATCTATTACGACAATTTTATCATTTATGACAATACAAAAGTGCCAAACGCTCATGTCACCCATTGTTAACTAAAGTTTACTTGTTGTCTAATATTCTGTTTAAACGTCGTTGACGTTGATTTCGTATACATATCGTAATATTGTAAAAAAAACTCATTGCAAATAATTGTGACAAAAACGTTGCATTGGTAGATCCGTGCATATTTTCACATGAATACTTCCTTTATAAATGATGCATTTTGCATCTTTGTACATAGTATTAGTCTTAAATCTTGTCATTAAAAGTAATTTTCTTTTTTATTACAACTTACGTTGATAAGCTTCTATTTCAATATCTAAGGCTTCTTGTTTACACTGACGTACGACGGTTCCCGTGTATTTTGTCACTTCACATATCAGTCGTCCGGATAAAGTTTTAGAAACACCAGACGAATTGGACATCTCAATAACCACCTCAAAATCCTCCCCGATCTTGACAGATTTTGGTGTCAGTATTTGAATTTTAATGTCCTGGAAAAAATGTTGTTCAATGTTTATTTCGGAAGGTTATTTAGCATTCATCCGTGCATCATTTCATTATTATAATAAAGGAAATTTACAAAAATGTGTCTTTCATCTGAAATCGTGCATAAATATATTCCTTACTCTTCGTTAATGTTTGTAACATATCATCCTCCATTCAAATATTTGTAATTTACTTGCGATTACTGTATACTCAGATATTTTCGAGAGGCAAAAATTTCGCGAAATCAAAATTTCGGACTGTTGGACCAATGTTAAATATCATCGCGAGTTTCTAAATTTAGTTCAGTGAAACTGATATGACACTTACATGAATGCGAAAATTGACTTTTATGTTCGAGAAAATCTTCATTTCGCAAAATTAAATGCCTCCCGATTTTTTTTTATTTTACAGTATATGTAAAGTATTTATCGTAGACTACAAAAGCAGCCTAATGTAAATTGCCCCTTGAAGAGGAGAGTAAGTTTTTTCTGATGTTACATTAAAACAGTAAAAAAAGAAGCTTACATTGTCCTTCGTATAAATTCTACTTAGACCACGTGGGGCACTTTGGGTTGCTGACAAGACAGACATCCGCTCCCTCTCACTTCCTGTTTTGCAAAATATCAAAAGAAAAAAATTCACTTTTCGAATACACTATAGGGCTATTTGCACAGTATAAAAATAAACAGCCACGGTGTGTCATTTAAATGTTTATAAAGAAAGTTAAACTGAAATGGTAATGTAGTCATGACAAAGTATGGCCTTAGACCAAATAACTTACTTTTAGAAATTTGCATGCAAAGTCGTAAGTTAATATCGAATTTTTTAGTTCCATTTTGTAGGAAACCATAAGCTTAAAGACACAACTTTGAATCCGTTTTGGTACCAGCCAATATTGAGCAATTAATGAGTGTAAAATTTCTTGCTCAAGGAAACAAGGGATTGATCTTGACAGGGGGAAGGGCTTAAATGCAATGCCATTAAGAGTTAAGAAAAGCCTACCTTCTATGTATTTGTACTGGGACGTGATATCATCTCTGAATTTTTCAAAGTCGTCAAAATTATCTGGTATAGGAAGACCGTCCGGTTTCTTTGTACTCAACATCTTCCCTACTCTATATATAAGATAAATCAAATTAATCAATCAATCAATTGATCACTTATTAATCAAAGATGAATATAGCTCTTCTTTGCTTTTAACATCTTACAAACTAAATAAAAGGAAAACAACTTTTTTAGATAATCAAATGAATGAATGAATGAATGAATGAATGAATGAATGAATTAATGAATGAATGAATGAATTAATTAATTAAATGTTAGAAATAATTCAGGTTTTTAGTGAAACAGGGGTATTTAAATTTTCAAATATTGCTAGTTTTCACTATAGGACTTACAGTAAGTTATTTTCTCCCATCTTCGTAATAATGGTTACAAAATATTTCTAACACGCAAATAATTAATACGTGTATATATTTTCTTATAAAAAACGATAATGACCAGTTAATTAGTTTTAAAAAAGTAGTCAACCACACAATCAAACAGCATTTTAATTTTTGGCAAACACTTTGATGCACGAGTCTAATGTGAATGACCAGGTGTCTTGCCGCAAAATAATTAACAACGCAGTTTCAGAAAAAAGTATTTATTTATATATTTATGTTAGTGCCTGCAGCTTTTGCATTCATGGCAAACTTTCAATGTGGTAATGAATGACATTTCTTCTTTGAATGTATGTACAATTTTAAATGTAAAAGTACATTTGTATTTAATTCAAGACTGAACTTTGCTTTCAAGGGATAGTAAATCTATATAGAAATAAGAGATAACGTTACAAGTAAGCAAACACAAATAAATGGTCTATATATAGTAGTCAGTTTTTCAAAAGCGTATGCCTATTTATATAACTTGTGCAAAATAAAGCTCGTTTTACTGAAAATCAAAATACAGAATGACATAAATGGAATTCCATGACTCATAACTAGAACGCTGGGATTCCGATTCATTTTTGAAAAAATCAGATTGTTTTATTTTAATATCGCTCGGTATGTCATTGCACCATCTGTCAACAATTTGTTTATAAATATTTTGTTCTGATACAGTTTGCTTTCTTTTTGTCTATGTTTTTATTTGTATTATTATTGATTTTAGTTTTGAAAATGAAGATGTGTGACACGAGACAAAGGCTATTACATGTAGTTTTCTTTATAAAGATTCGATTATGTTGTAAAATTACAAGCTTAAAGAAACACCTGGAAACAACCAGTACCAAGCAATGAGTGTAAATTCTTACCCAAGGAAACAAGCCAAGTCAAGTCAAATAGTTCATTGGCATAAACATTTTACACGTTAATCGCCAACAACGGCCGTTTACGGGGGCTAGAAATCCTTGCATTACTATAGTCCGACATGTTTACCACTCGGTCATGCCGCTACATGTTTTCCTATTGGGTGTACATATTTCTCAACCTTTCTATATGTTAAATGCACTCACGCAGATTTGTCTATGTTCATCGTCTGCCAGCTCCCGTCGTCCTGTTTACCCCAGTGCACCCGGTCCGCGTTCACTTCAGCATAGATAAATGCCGTGTCGTAATTCACGTCACATTTCCCATTCAGAATGGCTGTCAGGGGAGACGGGCCGCATCGGAATTCACCTAAACAAAATGACAATTTTGAAATAAATAAAGTCTAAGCAAACATTAAAGAGATCCCACGCTTTCTAAAATGATTACAGATATGGAAAGTGGCTACAATTTCCGATTTTTTAACGAACGAGCTATTGACTGTAATTCACATGAGTGCACGTCATTATGTTTTTGTAGATATCTTACACTAAAATATGCTAAAATTAAGCAAAGAATAATTAATTGTAATCATTTTTTACCATCACTAGTTTCCTGTGGCGTCGAGTCTAAAACCTGCCAACCGTCGTTCCCTGCCGGCAAATCTTTTCTCCTCATCCAAACGTCATTCCAGACATGAAAATTCCTGTCAAGAAAAAAAAACGAATATTTTTTTCTTTAAATATACAGAACAAAATAGTGAAAGTCTATCCGGTTTCTCAAACCACAGTGTCCAACCGTTACACTGAGCGACAGAATAAAAATGGATAGGTCTGTCCTAGTAACTGGTTCCGTCTGTAGATGATTGGACACAGTGTTGACACTGAAATTAAATAGCTTACCGTCATATAAGACTATTTTATTCTTTCGATATAAATATATAAGCTTTTATCATTGAACATGAACGATTGTAAATGAAATGGTAAAAGATCTAACGCCATGAGAGAATATGCCATTTCTGTCTGGTAATGAAAATAGAAGTAAAAGATGTGAAATCAGGTTGAAATACTAGTATGTTAAAATAACCCGAGAGCCCGCTGACGCTGAAATGAAAATGGAAAATCATAAATCATTATATGATATTTTTTAAATTTAAAAAAAAGCCACGCGCGAAGTTGACACACATTATACATTGATAGTGATGGTTTCCATAGTGTAAAAGTGAAAGGAAAAAACTACTCAAGGGCTGTATGGACTGAGCTTGGATTCAGAGAAATTCTTCTGCATAGATAAATTCATTGCCTTACCATATAGAGTCTGTGTTCAGGGATGTTAGCTCGGAATTGCCACGGTTATCCCAATGTACATCAACAGTTACACTTCCGTCAGTATCATGTGCAGACGAGAAATTGGTCACTGTCCGACATGGAATACCAATCGCTCTGCAAACTGAAACAATCCGTGGAAAAAATAATATCTAAAGTCTACAAGTTATATCAACTTTTCATTGTCTTACAGTGTGTTTCGGGACGAAAAACACGTTTGTAAAAAAAGAGCATGGTCGAAAAGCAGTATCATAATTTTAAAGTTTCGAGCCCAGAAACTGTTGTTTGTGATTAAAAATAATCTTTCCAGGAGATTTTCAACAATTTAAATATTATTAAAGATTATGAAAGATTATTAAAATAATAAACTGTTGTTTGTGATTAAAAAAATTCAAGGCGATTTTTTACAATTCAAAGATTTTTTAAAAGATAAACTCTTTTTTTCAACTGAAATTATGGATGAAAATCCAATAAAAAACACAACTTTCAAACAAATAATTGCCTAAACAATGAATGTATTATTATCAGAATTTTAATTGTTTTCTAAATGAATGTTAAACTAAAAACGAACATATAATGTTAAAATTATGGACGGGATGTTGCACAGGCCGTATGGATTGCTGGATCAAATCAAGATATAAAGTAAATAACATACATGTACAAAAATGTGATTTAATACTCACCTGTAGTTACAATACCAGCAAACACAAAACATTGTCCATATTTTACGGGCATCTTTGACTTCATAAACTCCCTAAGAATAGACACACTGCCCACCCAGGAGAGAGGGGCGGTGCCGTTCCTATAGTTACCCGACCAGTTACCGGATAAAACTCCATTGTCGTCATTGCTATTGACCTAAAAACACATATGTTACGGCCGTTCTTAAAAAGATCATTTGCTTTATGAGAATAGAATGAAAACTACTGTCAACTGGCATATTTGCGTAAACAATATATTTCCCGGAGAAAAAGTGTTTCATTTTATGTTCATTCTTGAAAAACACCTGCTTTTGTGGTTTATGTAAGAACAAGACTGTTTCTAAATCTCTGGAATTTAACTTGATAAAAAAGTCAAAAATTATTCAACAAATTGAATGCAAAATTTCCACATTGCGTATGCACCTTTCAACCCGATTTACATACAGTATTTACTCAACACTCATGCACTTAATAGAGAGAGAGAAAAACAACAACCGACAAACATAATTAATCTAAAGCTGTATTGTATGAAAATCACGTGCTATTTTGGAGATTGCCCTCGACATCCGAACCGGATCCCCCATGGCTCTCTTTGGCTGGGATTTAAACGCCTTCTTTATGCAATAAAGGGCGGCTTCAAGTATACCAGATTCAAACTGAAAAAGTAAAGAAATATTGTAACGTTTCCTACAGCGTTTCAATATTAGGCGCCAAGGCTGGCTGGAGAAATGTAAAACATGCATGCCAACGTTGAAACGAACGACACTGGAAAACGGCAATATGTACACATGTATTTTATATTGTTATAAGGTCTTTACTAATATGGCAAATATGGGTATCCACTGGGGCTATTTTTGAAACCACCGTCATATTACTTAACTGACTCTTATATTTCGCGTACTTTTGACATTCGAGTATTTCATTAAAGAATGCAAAAAAATAAATGTTTCAGTTCAGTTATATCTTCGATAAGAACAGTCAAATAAGCGCAAATCGTTGCATCAGTGAATCCCAGCATATACAACACTTGAACATTTAATGAGGTCTCCTCTATGGTAAAACAACTTATACAACCTATTATAATGAATACCTGGCCGTAAAACCAAGGTTTAGCGGCAATCTGGTCGTATCCACCAGTAAAAATACATCCACTATCGTTTAGAACGTACTCTGCGAGTAAGTCCCTGTTTGGGAAATAAACGGCGTCATCTGAAATAAAACTGACAATAAACATTCTAATGCGAAGATTGGTTCGCCTATATATACACCTTAAGAAAATGTCAAAAATATATAAATTATATCTTTTAAAAATCAATATTTGAAATGCAACAAATGTATTGAAATGCAACTACATGTATCATATAGCAGTAAAGTATATCAAAGAAACATCCTATGATTTTAAGGCACATCTCAAACTAAACACCACCCACTCCTCCTCTTTTAAAAAAAATAAAATTGACATGCTTTCAAGAATTGAAAATATGCTTATAATTGTCCTGCTTTATATAAAGATCTTTGATAAATTGCCACGGGTATGAATGTATTGAAATAAGTATAAAACAAAAGAAGGAGAAAAAAACACTGTTTAAATACCTCTGTCCCATGGGTTGAAAAGAATGTAAAAGTTTGCTTCTTTCCAAGTGCGAGACCTATTTGCTTCTTCCTTCCGGTACCCAATAGAGGCTGCCATTTTCCATTGGCCAACAATAGTTTCCGGTGATGTTTGAACGCTAAGCGTCACTCTGTTACCCATGACACGTTCTATTTTTAGACTCCATGTGTCAGAATCTCGCAGTGGTGATGCAGCCGATAGCTTTATATAGGTGGCTTTCCCAGGCTGAGGTGAAGGTCCTTTAACGGTAATTTTATTATTTAAATAAATATTCATGAAGCAAAATATATTGTACATGACAATCATACTTAGGTGCTCCGTAAAAATAATTCCTGTAAAAGGAATGCAGAGCGCAGTTTGCAAAGAATGCACGAAAGCCAGGCAAGAGTACAAGCTTTTTTAAAAACTAAAACAGGGCATTGAGCGAGAAAAAAGACCCAACCCAGTCTAGCTATCTTGGCGGAACAAATCTTATAATTTCTTTCAGCTACATATCTTTATTTCCAACTCTTATTCAACAAAACGCGATGGTAAAAGCTTTTTGAAAAGTAATTGTACTTGATATGATGGAACATATAAATATGTTTGGACGCGCTATCCGTATCTGAATAGAAAGACTGAATTACATACATTTATGGAATAAGAATCCAACTACATTGTCAGAATACGATAAAAAGGTCTATGAACCTTTTTTTATACGACGCGGACCGTTGCCAAGCATATTAATCAAGATAATGCATCTTTTCTTTTTTTTCGCGCATGGGCTAATTAAAAAGACAAAGGCAAAATACAATTATACAGATAAGGCAACAGACGATCACATCAAAATAATGATATTATTCCAATCTAAATGGCAAGTAACTCAGAAAAATATGAAAAGACAAATAAAACTAGGAAAGATATTCGGGACAGAACAAAATCGAGAAAATGGGTCACAGACCAAGCTTCTATGAATATTCCTTAAAAGAATAAGCTAAAGGTAGATTTGCACACCTGCTGTAAATTCCATACTGACATCGTGCTCGGATTCAGAAAATCTTACGTTAAGAGTAACACTGACTCGGAAAGGCTGAGCTCTTCTCACCACGAGAAACTGGTCACGTGACTTTGCAAACCGATCTGTATGGTGTTCCCGCGCATTTTCAGTAACATGACAATCAATTTCTGTGACGTTAATATCAGACTGAACCGTGTTGTTTGTGGAAGAAGCTGAAATAATGACAGTGATATTTTTCTAAAAGAGCCGAATTCCCCTACCACCAACAATGACCTTATCTCAGATAAATTTAACACTCTCAATTGAGCGTCCGAAAATATGTTATTTTGAAATAGAATATTTTTTTATGAAATAACCAAACATTTAAAACATTTCGACAATAGATAATGGAATTTCTGCATTAATTTACATTTACTAAAAATCAATTGAACAGCATAAGAGCTCTGTATGGGAAACCAAGAAACTCGTACCCTGACATAATCTTACCCGTTAGTCAGATTAGAATTTACTAGAAATGATATTTGTAGGTATTTTCACTTAAACATATGTAATAAACATGTTTCAATAATTTAGCAAATAAATAAAGAACACTGCGTGCTGTGAATTTGTTTATAGTGACAAAAGTCTGAAATTAATGAAATTTAAGTTTAAAAAAATGTTTGAATATGGAGCAAAGACAAGCCTCAACATTTAACCTTTATAACTTGTAACTCTTTATACTGATGAAAGCATTTGCGCAAATGGTTTCTAGTGGCTGGACTGTCATGTTACTATATGTTTCGTTAAAAACGTCAAAATAACGTGAAAATTAGCCATTTGACTGAAAAAAAAAATGGTTCTTTGCATTTGATATAATTTAATAATACAAAATGAGCAATATTACGACTGTAAAATTAAAATTTTTGGCAGTTTAAGGGCAGAACTTATAATAAAACTAGAAAATTTGGCAAACAATTATTTTTGTATTTTTTTGTTCTTGTTTCAGATGGACAGTCAAATTCATTGGTATTTTTAAGTACTTTTGATTGGTTGGCATTAATATTTATTGAAGTGACATGTTTAAACGTAAATTTTGTCCAAGGCATTTAAAATTAATTCATTTGATTTTAGCCATAATTAAGAGTACGAAAAAAAGCACTTTACTTCCACATTGGTTTCCCAAAAATTCAAGTCTATTAATAATTCGATATCCATACCAATTTTATTTTCATTTGCGCTGTCTATTGCATTCACGCTCTGCTGATAACAAAATATCCCTATATACTACTAACGAGCACTATAACATGCATTTTTGCTAAATCTCAAATAAATAAATTCATAACCCTACTTGCACTGTAGGCAGACAATATTTTTAGCTTTTACTAAATCCCGTTTTCTGCTATTTATAAACTGATTGTCGGTCAATTTGTATATGCAAACATCTTTGTTTCTAAATCACATTTTGGGAAACAAACATTATTTCACTCTAAATGAATTGAACATATATCAAGTTGTGTTTAGAAAATGAAGCAAATAATTCAGGAAACTTACAATTTCTATCCCAGTTGTAGGCCCTCTTATCCTCATCGTCATCGCTGTACGTAAAGTAGGTCACAGGCTTCGGTACACCAATACCCATGCTCCCATCTGGCAAAGATACTCTGTTGCCCGAAGAACTTGTCCTTGGAAATGTCCCATTATATATGCCATCTGCATGTCCAACATTTGAACCTGAGATGATTGGTATTACGTTTCCAGCATTCCTGGAATCCCGATAATCTGATGCATCGCGATTATCGTAGTGGATCGGTAATCGAGTCCAGTTGTCATTACGGGACGGTGAAAAGTCACGATTTCGTAGCGAAGAGCTGTGACCAATGTCTGATATATCGGCGTCATCAATGAAACGGGAACCTGTTACATTCCCATAAGCCCGGTTCCTCGGTAAACTGTTACTTCTAAACCGAGTATCAGCCGGTCTAGAGGAATGTGAGGATGTGCTTATGACTTCGTAGTTGCTTCGGTTACCGTTTGTCATCCGAGGCGAAATATCGCGATTTCCTCTTCCGTTGGGATTTAATGAAGAATGTATCGATGTACTATAATCGTTATAATCCCGGTTGATTTCGCTCGTAACTCTTGGCGATATATCGCGATATGTGCTTGGCACTGAATGATGCGTCTCGTAATAAAATGTCGGTTGGCTTAAACTCCCAAAATGTGGCGGTGGGGTCACGGAACGGAATCTGTGTGAAGAAGAATTACCAATATTCCTTCCGACAAACGTAGGAATTTCGAAATGGCTTGATCGAATTATCGGCGTATTAGAACTATAATATGATCGTCTGCTATTTGGTGAGCTGAAATTTGTCCTTGACATTCTTGATGACGGTCTGTGAGAGGTTTCAAACACGCGTCTGCGCATGGAAGACATGTTTATAAAAGCACGTGTTAGTCCAGTAACGCTTCACAGAAATGACAACAGATACAGGTATGTGAAACTTACAAAGCCTGGACATATTTTATCCGTTGTCAGTACTCCCTTTTTTATTTACAATAGGCATATAATGACCATATAAATACTGTAAAGTGAATCTTTTCGCGTGTGTTTAATTTTTCATTTTTTGTTGTCGTTTCTTTGACATAGGTTTTTACACGTTATACTTTTCGTTGTTTGAATCATGAACAGTTTCTATTTTTCAAATGGTGAAACTTATTTAGGTGCAGCTAACATCCTAGATCCTAAAAAGTAACTGTTACTATATAAAGACCCACTATAAGACCACATTCTTATTTCTGAAAGATTTTATTTGTTATTTTCGGTACCCATTAACCATATTTGGCTTTATAGCAACTAGTTAACTTTAAATGATTTAGTACTGTGAATGGGAGACAAAATACCACTGTGCGTTTTTTATTTTATTTATTTATTTATTTTATTTTGTTTTTATTTATAATTTTTGCAACGCTATGTGATAAGCGTTTACGATGCATTATTCATCTAAACTTTATAAAACACAGGTTGAACTTTTCTCCAGAGGAAAATCGTATTCATGTCCGAGGATGTGTGCCCTTTTAATGCAGCATGGTGAGTTAATATGATATTTTACAATATGTACCATTTTGGGTGTTAAAAGACTTTGATCATCATCAGATTTTCTTGAATACAAAATGTACATGAAGAATTTGTTTCATACGACGATAGAACTGTTTTACGCGGATCTTAACACATTTTGGTCATATCTCTGCGGTTGACCCACCAAAGTAAACAGCTTAATTTCCTGATTGACTAACGAGTAGTTAAAGTGACCGACAGCTAATGTCACCTGATTTCTGCATCAGCGTTGAGGAAGAAATGAATGACCACTAGGCTCAATGTTTGAGATGAATTGTTACAAAGTAATTTCGCCCCGCCCGAGGATCGAGCCAGCGATTTCTGGTTTGCTATTCCGATGTTCTCCCTATTGAGCTAAGCAGACAAACGCGTTGTGCTCTATCTTTGTGACGGCAGCTTGAAATATATTTAATCATTAAACTCATGTCTCATAAGTTTTTTTTGTTTTTGATTGTGTGTTTGTTGTTTGTTTGTTTTGTTTCTTTTTATAACGGGGCGCTATAGTACAGATTATGTCTAAAATTACATCGGATATTCTGCATTTTTAGATAGATATTGTTTTCGTTTGAGTGAAATATGCAATATATTTTCACGAAACATTATAAAATTTCATCTTGAACTCCCTTGAGAAAACATACAATAACCAGATAATTTCTGGTAATGATATGAATAGCTTAAGCTACGGACTGCCGAGAAAGTAGTTCCAAAACATAAATATGAGTTTTGACTCAGCCCACTTTCATATTTTCTATTTTTTTTATTTATATTTTTTTCTTCATTTTTTTTATTTGACACATGCAATACCATATTTCATAAGTAAAATTAAATAATATTCATTTTTCACTTATAGAAGTAACGGAGGATTCCCGTATGTCCTTATATTTTCTAAAAAGCTTAAAATGGCCATGTTTTACGGTAAAACTTGAAAATTTGGCAGTGCAAACCAGGCCCGTAGAGAAAGGTGTTAACGGTATCATGAAAATACATCAAAGTTGCACCGCGCTTGTAAATTACATTTCATTTGTCAACTTACGTTTTAACAGGTCATTTGACAACTTGCCCGAGGTTTTCACTATCAAACCGTCCGTCTTTTTTACAACTTGCAATTTTAGTATGTAGGTAAATAACTCATTTTCTTATTATTCACATTAAAGAGTATAAAAAGCTACAAAATGTATCTTATGAAATATTTTTTATAAAATCTATCAACTGTATCATAATCTTATATTCGATTCTCGAAAAGTTGTGCAATAAAATGTCATTGTTATTAAAGATCCTGTAACACAATTTTTTCATGGTTTTATTTCATATATATGATGCTCAAATTAAGATGTGTCAATATTGTAAGTTCCAATAAGCATTATTTATAAAGATATTACCGAATTTAACATTTCATGTAAATAAAGGGAGGTAATTAGAAATTTATTTTCTACACATTCTAAGTCAAATTTTCCAATAAGAAATGAATGCATGTAATTTATTGTTTAAATATAATGTGTACAAATATTTGCAGTACACATTTTACATATTCTTCGATGTTTGAAAATTGTTTTATTTGCATAATTATATAGTTATACATATATAATTGTTTGCGAGTGTGGTATACACACAGTAACAATATCAATCACGATACATACAAGATTTTTAACGTAAAAAACATAAAATGTTCAAGAACAAATTATTATTTTGCTATTTAAGTATAGTGTTTTAACTTTAAACCGTCGTGGCTGAATTGTGCTCTGGTAAATATAACGAGGCTTACTGTCGTGATCCGGAGGTTAATTAAACTACCAGCACCACCATTAACCGTTTAGCAATGATTTCGTGCATGCGCAGCACCGTTTGCTTTTCAGGCTATATACCATTCCATATCTTATTCATACAAGCATTTTGGGGAAAAAACTCTTCTTTTAATTCAAACAATAATTCTGCAGTAGATATATAGCTTCTTAAAATCAAGCTAACTGTGGAAAAATACGAATAAGAGTTACGGGACAGCGATAGTGTAATACAAGTTATAATGATACAAATCTAGGGTTCGATCACCAAACTCCTGCTGATTAATAACCATGTAGGAAAGAAACATGTCTAAGCATTGTGAATGTACTCTTATATCGACAGAGCACGCTGAAAACCGGTTAAAACTCGTGTGTAATTCATTTTATAACCAGAAAGTATTTGTGAGTAGATTATGTCCCGGATGTCAGTAAGTAACTACGGTTGGCTTGAATTTTAACAAACAGTTATGAGTTACTCAGTAACATACCGGTACGGAATTAGACCCAACTAGCTGTAGTCTTTTAAATTTTGAAGTGGCCCAAATTAACTCATCTCTAGTTTGATTGGTTTTAATTAAAGTGTATTTAACAATTCTGTTTGTTATAACAAGTTGCATATAACATATTTAGATAAACGTACAAATGATGTTAAGATTTATTTCTTTTTGCGCAACAATCAAACTTTATTTTTGCATTATCATTTACATATACTAAGCTAAATAACAGGGGTACAGCAAATTCAACTAAAATTAAAATACTTAAAGTGATCAATAAGATTAATAAAGAATGATAGTAATATGTTGTTAAGAATAATGATATCAAGAGGAAAAACAACGAAAAACAAAACAGACATAGAACAAACAAAAATAATATTACAAAAATACAAACTTGCATTTGTCCAACTAACAATTTTTATTCCATATCTCCCGATATCTAATGCAAATTAGTTATCCCTTTTATATAAATCATTTGTACATAAATACATGTGCATGAATAATGATCGTCCTTCCAGCCAAGAAATTAATAAACTCAATAAAGATTATGCATATACAAATTGAATAAAAGTACAGGCTTAGCAAAGGATCATTTTACATTGTGTATTAAACAGAACAGGACGTTTTTTTTTTCTTTTTTTTCTGGGGTGGGGGGGGGGGGGGTCTATGTAACATTTACAACTCACATTCATACACAAAAATACATAATAAAAGTTCGCATTGAAATAAGTGTTTGATTCTAATATAAAACAATAAAAAATAGGAAAAATAATGCCAGGCACAAATCGCAACCTAAAATGAACACAAGCAAAACAACCGCCATAGAAAAAAAACGCAATTATGCTGCAAAGATAGACAGGCAATTTCCTTAGTAATTCTATATAATTATTCATAATTTATTACATTAACATTACATAATTATTTAGTGAGTCACGATTAGGTTGGTCAGATATCACTATTTTTAGAGAATATGGAAATCCGAAAATTGTTGATACAAGTTTCTATATTTAGATTTAATACGAGATATTTATGAGTATACTGTCACACTGTTTATAAAAGTCAATAACAATGCCTTACTTTGGTAATTTCTAAATTAAATTTAACATTTTGAAAGCTAAATTTCATTTGAAACCGAGCACCATTTTTTTCTAGAAATTCTTTGAAGATACCACATTGAACTGACTAGGTTTATGTCAGAATTAATTATAAATAAGAAAGTTTATGAATACATGTATGTTATAGTAAAAAGTTCAAAACTATGTACAGACAATATTAAGCACAATAATGATAGACCATACATGTTATGTTCAAAGTGTGTGTTCCCGCCATATCGAAAATGGGTAAATGTCGTACCATTCTATATAATAAGCCACTTTTCATGGACACCCACTCACATGTGTGAGTTCAAAATTCAGACTGATGTAGAAAGCGCATATAGCGACTGTCATAAATAAACTTTCCTGCCGTAATAAAACTATATAAATTGTAAGCAATGTCTGCAGGTTATCAACCTGTTAACCGTAGACAAATAACTCTGCGATTTTAATTTAAACAACCATTAAAGCCCGAACAGTCCCTTTTATCTGAGCTCTGCATATAGCGCATGTAGACAACGCCGAAATACATTGAGAACAACTAGACATATGGCCACAAGGTAATGTTATAATTGTGGCAATCTTATCAAGACATATCTTACATAAGACAGGATCTTTTAGTTTTCTATTTTCTTCCAGTAGTTCCATTTTATTGACCTCTGCTTCTGAATCGTCCGATGAATCATTTTCTAAACAAGCTGTCTCCGTAAGTTCGGTTAATGTTTGTCGTCGTTCAAGTTCGTCTTTTATCTCTTCTGTCGCTTTAATGAGATCTACGCCAGAAAATGTTTCTTTTTTTTCTTTAAGTATTCTTTTAACTCCATCTCTAAGAAGGCTTTCGTCTGCGCAAAAATCCCTAGCAGCCATGACAGCAGTTTCATTTCGTTTCATAGCAAGTTTCACTCTATCTATTAGCACATCGTCATCACCATCAACTTCATAGTCACTATCACCTTCTCCGCAAATGTGCTTAATGTACGCAACACCTTTACATTGACGAATATGCCCACAGTGTGGAAAATATAAAGCATGTTCCTTCCAGGGATCAGAATCATCGGACCAGTCTTTGAAGGCCCCTCCACAATAAAAGCATCGTACAGAGTCTCCAACTCCGGTATATGCAAAACCAGCATCTACTAATGTACTTACATTGACTTTGTTATCTTTCGGCCAGTTTTTGTAAGATTTTAACCTTGATTCTTGAGTCGCATATTGTCTATATTTTGGATTGAATATAACAATTCCTAACCGATCACTAAACGATTCCTTGCTTTGAGCTGGCCCATTAGCACCTTGTCTCGAGTTGTTCTTAGTAACTTCTTGGTTTCTATTAGATTCACTTTGACCATCTGTTCTTGTATCAACTGAATCAGTTTGGTCTGTGTTTAAACTAGTTCTCTCTGGTCTTAGACCATCAGCATTCGTTAAAATTCCATCAGAGGTATTTCTTTCCGCCGCGTCATCAATAGCATTACTAACATCTCTTTCAGGTACATTTCTTTCCGTTGTAACGTCCTTAGCGTCGGCCATGTTTCTTTTAGTATTTTTTCTAACTTTCTTCTTACGGTTTCTTAGACGACAACCGGTAGTATTGCTGCTCTCAGTCTTTAAATCAGTCGTTTTGACATCCGATATTTGTTGGTTACTGTCAGCTTTAGCAGAAAATGCTGTTTCGGACAGTTCCGACAGTTTATTTGTCTCAATGATTTCCTCCAAATTTGATTTCCGATAATTGTTGAAATTTTTATCAAGCTTAGACAAAACACCCGCCATGTGCCTTTAGGGAAAAAGAAAAATATTTGAATTACATTTTGTACGCATATTTATCTTGTGTTTTGAAATTAGAGTAAAATATAGTTTATTCGCATTGAATCTGAAAGATTAAAAACACATATATGCACACACATGAGTTGAAACAAATAAATAAAATTCAATTTGTAATTACGTCTTGCTTTAAGAATATATATCGAGGGAAAATGTTCATTTTTGTAAGAAAAAATAGTACTAATATTTACAGCTACATTTAGGAAAAAAACAATTCTTATACCTGTAGATCTATATTTTATATACAAAATCAAAATATTTTTATATTAAGCACAAGACTATAACTATTTTTTTTTAAATAGTGAGAGAAAACAATATGAATTAAAATGCATTCCAAGAAATAAGTATTATTTTCGTATATCTTATTTCTGTGTTATCGAATTGGCAATAATGAGCGTTTGTGTTTATGTACTGTACTATATACTGCGCAAATCGGAAAATCCTCAAATTTATAAATAGGACAATCTATTTATAGATTTATAGAGGATACCAGTTAAACTCATGATATTAAACTCTCTTGTATTTCATAACTAATACTATATTGCTAAAGACAATATATATTTAATTAAAATTTGATTAACGAATTTTAAGTTGTACAGCATGTATGCATACAAAAAGTAATAGCGAAACATTGTACGATGGGGCGTAGCCCCCGAGTATTTATAAATCAGATTGCCGAGTGTTTTTAAAAATCCCTGATGTCATAATAAACCAAAGGAAAAAAATAACCAATGAACGAGCATCTGAATATGATATTTCTATCGCTTTCCCTTTCTCTATCGTCACAATAAGTAAACCCCAGCAAAAATGAGCCAATCTTTATATACAATAAATCACAATATTTAGTAAGAAACTAAAAATGTAAAGGAATTAACACACGGTCAGACATAATTTCAATCATAAATTTACCGAAGTATAATTTTATCGAAGTATACTTTATTTTCATTTCAATGTCAATAGATCGATATATACAATGTATATAATTATATTCATTATACATTATCAAAGATTACACCCTCTGTATATGTTTACATCTATAAAACCACGTGATATATTGCTAGAAGTACATGTACTTTTAATTATTACTGGTACAAAAAAAATATATATACATTTTTGTATTATTTTTATTTGTCTAGATTATTAGTACCAACTCCGAGATAATTAATCAATAAAAGCCGTTCCGATCGTTATTCTTTTTTCCATTTCTAGGATATTTCATAGTGATTTTTACGAAAATTAAAATAGTTTCACGGGATAATTTTTTCTTCGTTGAACGTCTGATAAGTTCTCCAAATGATTCGTTATCTAACGGCAGTTTCGCAAACATTTTGAGCATAACGGATGTTCCAGGTTTGTGGGTCAATAACGATAATTAAAAGGACTTTGGTTTCCCAATTTCCGGCAGTTTGTCTTGGTAACACTACATTCTCGGGGAAAAGCAATAATAGATATGGTCAGGTGCAGCTCCAAAATGACATTTCAGGCGAAATTCTAAAACAGTTCATTAATCAAAGCACTGAATGTACTGATGGGGAGGCTATGACAGAATGTTTCAGACTTATAGTTTCTTTTCTTTTTGCTTAAAATGTGCTGTTAAATAAGAAGATATGTACATTGCGCCATTTATCGTTCAACCATTCATAAATATGGTAATATTGTTGACTATTCATTTTGTTAATATTCCAGAACATTTCATTGAGGTCTACATTCGGACTGTTAATCATGCAAATTTTGAAAAACCTAAAAACCATTTATAAATGACATACCAGCAGGTATGACGACTGTTCATTATAAGATCATAATACCATTTTACAACTGACGGTTCCTTATCAAAATATTCTAGGACTGTTCATCATAAATACTTTATGTCATTTTAATATCATTGAATGATAATAACATCTGCAAGTTAAGCAACATTTTAATTGACTATCAAATTATGATTCGTTGCCCTAGAATTGAATAAACTTTTTAATTACACAATACGGAGTCATTCATTTGATTGAAGACTGATCTTTGCGTCTTTCTCTGAAATAATTATTTCCTTGTTAAAACATATTTGACCACATATTTCTGTCATTTAACTGTTCACTTTACTTCGGAATCCGATTTTTGTTGTACCGATGTATTTTGTAGTGAAAGTCTTAATATATCCACTAATCTCATAATTAGAATTAGACAGGTCAGGGATTTATATTATGTTTACTTATCTACGCTCATTTAAATCCCAATAGAAACATTCGAATATTTGGGGTAAAAAACATGACCAAAGTACCTAGTAGTCGTTTACCCGGTGGTGATCCCATTAAACTGATTATAGATTCGTCAAAATCGACAATAATGGTAATTAAAGGTTATTTTAGAGTGAAGGTCCAGTTCTGTCTGGTCAACTTGAAGATCTTGTGTTTTAAGTATGAAGACAATGGCATATTTTAATAAGTGGCAACGGCAGTGCGTTTATATAAATAAGTCATCACTGTGAAAAATCATTTATAAGTAGAGTCCTTCAAAATATTCACCATGGACCTCTACACACTTTTCCAGCCTCAGAATCCATTCCAAAAAGCATTGTTGACCTGTTCTTTGGGTATACTGTTCATACACTGACAGAGAGCGCTTCCGACGGCACTACGGATTTCGAACGGGCGACCGCGAAGACAAAATTTGATTCATAGATTTAACCAAAAGTCACAAGGAGAGAGGTTAGGACTATAAGCGAGATGTAGCAAAACCTCAATTCTCTTCTCCTCAAGGATGACCGGTGTGCAGGTGCATTATCATGGAGTTATTTAATCATTGAGGACCTTGAGTTCTTTGTAATGTAGTGATTAAATGCAGCAGTGAGAACATGGTCACGGTAAAATGTTCATGTGACACTGCCCCTCTCAGGCACAGCGACACTATTCCCAGTGTGGCAATACCACGTGACATTGACTTCATTTTCGGCATCATTTCCAAGACAAATGTTGCTCGATTCGGAAAAGAAAACAGCCGTAAATATTTTATTTCTGTACCAATTTCTTTGGGATATGCACCAGTCTACGGGGAAAAATATAAGCTTTCCATAGAATATTGGATCTTCGTCAGTATATAAGCCGTTTTATCAAACACTTTGCCTAACCTTGGAAGTTGCTTGTATTAGAGCGGGCTTCAGTTGCAAGCTATTTCGTTTCTGGCGTTATCTGGTCTACGCCATAATTAAAAAGTAAGGTTTACATCAACCGGGAGTACGGAAGGCAAAACTCTACCTAAATATGTTCATATTTTTATTATGAATGACATAAATCTTACATTTTACTTCAATTGTCAAATCTGGCACCAGTTTCAAGTCGAAAAAAAGGACTACAGTTTAAAGCCGATTTTAGAATCCGTTGCAAATGCGAAGCAACATGCCTACAGTTCTCTTTCTACAATTTAGTTTTTCATTGTTGATCTTTCACAGAGAGATTATGAAAAAACTGATTGTTCCTTAAAGCAACAACACTTACTTGTATCGCAATAGTGCACGTCAAATCACGTAGATTTAGTCCTGTCGGAAAATAATGTTTGGTTTCGTTTTGAAGATGTTTAAAGTATTGCTCATCTTTTCCTATGTAGTTAAATGTGTTTTATTCTATTTCACAATGGCGAAATTGATAAGAAATATATGTGCTCTCAGTGAGAGAAAGAGTTAATATAAAAACACTTTGTATGATATGGAAAGGGTTACACTTTAACGCGAGTGTTGTTAAGCTAAAGGTATTTTTTCAGTTTATTCTGACAAACACTGACACTCGTGAATGTGACGAACAGGTTCTTCTGTCCTCAAAAGAGAGACTTTTAAAAGGTATATATTTTTCTGGAATTGTTGTATAATAAAGTTCTATAGAGTTTGATAAACTAAAACACAATTTGAACTTGGAACTTTGCCTTGTAAATCTGATAGAATTGTTACTTAGTTGCATTGCTTATAATTCTCTATTTATCAAAAAGACCCAAAATAACCATGAATAAGAACGAGAATGGACGCCATGTGGAGTAAACAAAGTAGAAAATAGTTAACAGATAAATGATTTTACAAACCAACATCCATCGATCAAAATCAAATTTCTTGAAACAAAACATTCAACAAGACGGAAATAACAAAGATTATCAATAATTATATAAATATTTACATTAACATCTGTAATAGCAACATCGGCAAGATCTATGACTGGGGTCCATATGCCACTGATGCGTCCATTGAATAATTGATAGCTAACATAAGCTTAGTAAAATTACGATTGCATTTGAAGAGTATTTTCAATTCTTATCCTTCAACTGTCAAATGACTTACTTCTTTATTTACATATCTGATAATTCACTTATTTAGTATATGCGTCACGTTTATCATGTTTTAGATTTTAATGTGCGATCCTTTTTTAATCTTAAAATGCTACAAAAAGGCTGTTTAGGACATTTGCAGGTCATGCCGCGTGCAATAATCCATGCATTTACAGCCAATGGTCACATCGATAAGAAATAGTCCCAAATAGCCCTATCGTTTTTATTCAGTTGAAAGAGACATTATTGTTAAAAAAGTTCTACTCGATTTAAATGTTTTCAAACCACAAATATTCCGTTCCCTTCCTCTCTTTACAATGTATATTGGTGAGCTCTCTGATAAAGCTGAGTTGACTGATATAATTAACTAAATTTGTCAGATATGCAGTTCATCAACAGAAATAAATGCAATTATAAAATAGATAGTGTTTAATAGTGTTCTTAAGTTAACGAAGTTATATCCAGTTCACGAAAACGGTTACCGTGGGTATGAAAACAGGATGTAGAAATATTTTTTATCAACGAGTGCCACTGTGTTAAAAAGCTTAATCTATCATACTAAAAGATTGCTACAGGTTCTTTATATATATACAAAGGCTCTTTACAAAAGAAAAACATTTGACTTTAAAATTGCCGCGTCGAGACGTAACCCTTTTTACAGCATACAAATCGAAGTGATCCGGAATGTGCACGTTCATTGGACAGGCTAGCTAAGTCAATCAGAGCCTGAAACATTTTCAATTTTGCCGTTTTAGGGGAAATTTAGGGTTTCTGTTTTCTATTCCATGTTTAGTATTGCTACATGACACAAATAAATGTTTCATAATCATTACCTTGAAAGAACAATGATTAAAGAGTAAATCAATTTCTTTACAAATACTGCAGTACAGACAACAATTTTACTACTTTTAAAATCACTTCAATATCGCAGCGAGGAAAAATTATTTAAATATTCATTTGTGTTTATGTAAATTGTATAGAAAATAAAAAGTTTTTCATGGTTAACATAATTATAGAAAGAGAACGGTAGGCATGTTGCTTCGCATTTGCAACGGATTCTAAAATCGGCTTTAAACTGTAGTCCTTTTTTTCGACTTG